ATTAAATCTCATTTGTGATGTAATTGGTTTATTACTATCATATAAATATTCTGTATTAATCTCTGGTAGGCAAGTCCTTTTTGTCTGAAGAAAATTGGCTGATTCGTAGTGGATTTTGTATTATTCTGTGTTATCTCTGGAATGGATGAACAAAAACATTAAACTTTCAATGGTGAATCAGTATTTGCTCCTTTTTAGGATAATTATACACCGTGTCCCAGCTAAAATGTCCCCCCCTGTGAAAAATCAACCGCGCGATCGAATGACTTGAAATTTGGTCACCCAGTATATTTGATGATGCTTACTCGAAATATGCTATTGAATAAATCGTAGGTATACAGGGTCACACCGAAGTGCACCTCAACTTTCTTATTTAAAACGACTATGAAGATATGGCAAAAAATAAAACGTAAAGGATAATCTTCGCCATCGGTTTGGAGACAATCTAATAACCACCAATTGTCTCGATGGTGATAGCAACTGGCCAGCTCGGTCGCCAGACCTCACCCCACTTGATTTTTATCTGTGGGACTACTTGAAACAACAGCTTTATGAGTCGCCAATTGAGAATATGGAAGAAATGAAAGAGAAAATCACAAATTTATGCGCACAAATTGATCGCAACGTGATAAATAGGGTCACAATGAACGTTATCAAAAGAGCTAGGAAATATTTGCAGCAGAATAGACGACATATTGAGCAGTTGAGGTTTCAATTATTTTCTTTTCATTCGATTTCAATCGTGTTATATTAATAAAATCTAATCATACAATTTCTTTATTGAATCGTTTTATTTTTTGGCATATCTTCGTGGTCGTTTGAAAAAATCCCATCAAACCCGGCATTGTTGAATATGGAATAATATACTGGGTGTCCCTATTCAAATAGGAAACGATTTATTCAATAGCATATTTCGAGTGAGCATCATCAAAAATACTGGGTGACCAAATTTCAAGTCATTCGATCGCGCGGTTGATTTTTTACAGGGAGGGACATTTTAGCTGGGACACGGTGTATAATCATCTGAGCATATCACTAAAAAAGGACAGAACATTATAAGTTAGTATAGATGCTCATACAGAGTTTGTGGAGATGTATAAAAGTCATTTTTGCTCAAACAATAGTTATTTGTTTTACTAGGCAGGAAAGTAGTAGATTGACAGTCAGCAGCCATTTTTTCTCCAAATGCTATAAAACCAATTTTGTGTAATTTTCCTATTGAAAACTCCATCATTTTATGTTCACCCAATGTCAGTGTCAATTTTGATTAGCTACCAATTTCATTCAAATTATACTTATAGTTGCATAGCAACAAACTTATTGTTCTGCCTAGGCAGAGAAAGTACACTTTTTCTGCCTAGACAGAGAAAGCATTAAACTCTTTTCCTGCCTGTTAGAGAGAAGCCACTTTCTATGCCGCCTGGAGAAAAAATTATTTCAATTCAGTAATAATATATATGGCCCCTTTCGATATGTAAACGGCTGTTCAGTGATAGTCATTATTTTTTATACAGGATGGGACGAATTTTTTTCGTTTAATGGAGGAATTTTTGACAGAGATGACAAATTTGACATTTCGCTTCCGTTTGCTTCCTTCATCTTTCAACAAAAATATTGTACCTATACTTTATTTTAATCGATATCTTGTACCGTTCTAGAGAAAATCGCATTTTAAAAATGCAAATGATATAAAACCAGTTTTTTGTAATTTTTTTATTGAAAACATCATCTTGTGTTCACCCAATGTCAGTGTCAATTTTGATTACTAATTTCATTAGAATTTCTTGAAACGTTGCATAGCAACAAACTTTTTCTGTCTAGGCAGTAAAAGTACACCTTTTCTGCCTGTTAAGCAGCAGGAAAAAGCCACTATCCCTGCCGGTTGGAGAAAAACTCTATTTATTCAATAGGCAGTCAGCATTGTCATAAAATTGACATCAAATTATTTACATCAGTGTTTAATACTTTTGGCACAGAATACCCAGAGTATTTTGTGCTTTTGGTAATAACATGACTTTAGTAATGATGAGTATGCAATATATGTATGGACTTGCACACTTTCAAGGTCAATTTACATGATACCTTTCCGGACAGTCCGGACACCCTGTACATAACAAGTACCATTGAATAAAACTGGTAGAGTATTTCTGCACCCTGTATGGGTAGGTCATATCTGTCTTTCTTGCATGTGTTATTGAATATGTACCTCTACTTCATGGATGTTGATGTCACCTCGATAGGATGATAAATAGGCTACATTTTAGGTACCTATTATGATCATTCAATTCCGATTCTGCAAATTCGCAGATTATGCTCAATACAAGTTGCAATGTTGCCACTATAAAGCCACTAATGAATTATTGGATAATCAAATGAGGGAGAAATATGGAAAAGCTCAAAATCAAGGACATCCTGCAAGCTGCAAGTGATGTCGGACGGAGAACGATAAAGTGGGTAACCTCAAATTCAGGATCAGGATGTCCTGCCCTGCGAAATGCAGGACCGGTGGAAACCCTACTCCCTAGTCCTTATTATCAGGTGAGTCATATATTCAAATTCAAACACAAATCAGTAATCACAGTCCGAATCTATTATGGGATGGGACCAATGGGAGGAACAACACAACAGAAGACGAGAAATCATGGTAGTCATGGAATCATAATATTATGGAATGAAAAAGCCTTTGGAAAAAGGAGGCGTTATTGGTCGTTAACGTTACCTTTTATTCTGTGTAAGGGCAGACACTAGCAGCAAAACCTACTATTCTTTGAAAGAATCTCCTCTTTGCTAGCAGAGCTCTTTCGATCGAATGCGAATAAAAAACTATCGATGCATCGATGTCGATTTCTCAAATAATGTAGAATTTGTATGTAAGTAAACAAAAGCTGTGTAAAACCACCTATACCTACTAAACTCTCTGGCTCTGACTCAAACAAATGACGAATGACTCAACCTTAGTCATGATCTAAGGACTCAACACTCTGACTCAGTGTTGTTCCTGGCTCAAATTTGTTCGTACTAGATTTCGTTTGCAAAATCTAACAGATTTGAATCAGAATGAATGTCATTCTTGTCAAAACTTATCGCACGATTCAGACGTTTGCAGTTTGCACCATTTTCGACAATTAATACGTATATGCAAGAATGAGGCAAAAATCACGGAACACGACATAAATATAGAGCATAGACTCATAGAACAGAACCGAGAGCAGAACCAGCGTGGAGAACATAATCATTTGTTGAGCACGGAACTAGATATTTTAGTCATGAAACATCAAATTTTTGATCCAACTGTAAATAGTAATAGATTCATGACGAAACGTAACAGCCTCCATTGGCTGTTCCTGACCGAAAATATATAGTACCAGATCGCACTTAGAAAATGGACTTGTAGTTCTTGCATATATAGTTTTTATTCATGAGGGAAAAAAGAAATATGAGTGGATTAATTTCAACCTTCTGAAGATACCGAAATAAAAAATTGAATTCATGATAAAAATATCTCAAAAATGAAAGAACCGTACCAAACTATTGAGATAAAAATATGCAGGGCAGTCTTTGGGGACTGCCGATAGAAGTGAAAACTATACCTATAAGTATGACTTGCGAATTGTATCGTCGAGTTATTAGATTATTATTTCTTCGAAAACGTATATTGGAATGCAAAAGAACAAGAATATAATAATCTGTATAAAATGGGATCTCAAAATTAGTACTAGACTTCCTCACAAATACTTACGTACTGACATGATGAACCTCTTCAAATAGTGCCAAATCTAGTACTAATGTACTGACTGGAACATTGAGCAAAGCCCAAGAAATTATAATAAGCAGAGTAGCTCCAAATTCAAATATCGCTGCTACTTTTATTAATAAATAGCAAATATCGAATTTGTAACATCATTAGAAATTCACATTGTACTAGATTCATTAGTACAATTATTATGGGGTGTGGAACTGGAACTCACGGTTGTTCTTTTCTAGTATATTTCATACTATTTAGTACGTCATTACAATTAACAACAATCTAGTACAAATAAAGCGGGATAGCCAAATCAGCCCGAGCTGTTATTATTATTGCATACAAAGTAATTATTTGGAAAAAAATGTTATAATTGGAAATTGGAATCATAGTGAAGCCCTTATTGATAAAAAGTCTATAATTTCCAATTCAACAACGGAGAAACAATAATCTGTAGATGATTAAATTGATTTGACTTTGAATCATTGAGTTTCCTCTTATTTCATTTCATACATATTCTTTCTTATTTTTGGCTTTTTTCAGTTTATTTGTCTCATGACTTATATTTTTCAGATGTTTTAATGTGCTGTACATTATTTTTCTGAGTTTTTACAAATAAATATTAAGTTTTTAATTGGACCATCATCAAACTTATTGAGGTGCCATCTGTGGCGTAGTTTTTTTAATAGTCTGTTATACAGTGTGTGGCCAAGATAAGGGGGAACTCGAAAACAGTAGGATGAGTTACATTTGAATTCGGTTAAATGGCGGGAAAAAGAATTGTGTATTCAGAGGGTTTTATTGGAGATATCTACATGCAGAAAAACTGAGAAATCTTTTCCATTGCAACTCTTGATCAGATTCAACGTGGTGAAATTGATTTATTCATGCGTCGTTTTGTATTCGTAGAATACGGTCCTGATTGTGTGATCACAGTTTCTGAAAGCTTTTTCCATTCTGAATACAAACATATTCAGGGTTATTCACATTATAGGCTGGATTCCTAGTCAGTCAATCTACTACTTTGCTGCCTAGTTAAACAAATAACTATTTCGCAGGCATTTGGAATGACCCAAATGTGCAAATAATCCTTCCATATAAGATAATTTTAAGAATCTTCTCAGATGACAAGGGATGGCGTCTTGATAGATCGTTTCTGAGAATTTGTAATCCTCTTCGAAATTAAATACTGAGTACGCCACTGGAAGCAGTTGAGCGCAAAAATTAATATCCACCTTAGCTATGTATGATTCGTGACCAATGTCAATCCTTGGCCATAAAAACTATAACAGCTGCCCAAAGCCGAAATTAAATAAACTCCTCAGAAATACAGGTGTACATATACCTATGGCCGTGCCTATATGGAACCAAGTTTTTTACCAAGACTTGCCTTTGAGGCATTGAAAGAAGCAGAAACTGTTTACAAGGAGAAAGGTTCATGTGAGTATGTTTTATTTGTTCCTCGTCGCGGTAGGTTCGATTGAAATAAGCACAGCACTTTACCGCCCGGGTTCGCGGGCTACTGTCCATAAAGGCCTATTTAACGCCCTTATACATACATAACTATTCATTATTTTACGTTGGGTTCCTGAAGACAAGGAAAGACTGACACTATACTGACAGAAGGGAAAGACATATTTTTTCTATCTTGAAGTTTACAGGGTTTTCCGGAAATCAGCGACTCAAATTTCAAATTTATACTGGCCGATAACTAAAAAAAAATTAATTTTATGCACTAGCGGGCCGTAAAGTGCACTTTACCGCCCGGTTTTGCGGGCGTTAAGTCGCACTTTACCGCCCGCGGGCTCATTATGGCCCACGGGCCGTAAAGTGCACTTTACCGCCCGCTGTTCTCAGTTACCTTATGTCCACATATCAATTCATGAAAAACCTATGATCATTTTCCTAGATTCTAATATATCCAGCGGTATATCATGAACTTCTTCTTTATCCGATTCCATATCTATCGCTATTATTATTATCACTAATTTTTACTTTTCAGTCAAAGAATGACAATTCAGCTCGTTTATTGGATGATTGAATGTATTGATATAGACAACAACCATCAGCTTGATTGACAACGTCAAAATTAGTTAGGTATATATACTGGGTATGCATATTGTGAAATTCTGAAGAATGAATCTCTTCTAGAGATCAAAGAGTTTTACTATTACGATAATTGCAATATTCGTACGATAATTTTCATATGTAAATCATCCATGAACATTACGCTTCTCTTGATTACTGAATTCATACGCAACAAATCAAATTCGGGGGAATATTAGTTTATCGAAATCTATAGTCATTACTTTTGAGTCAGAAAATAAACCACTAGTGCATAAAATTTTGTATGTATCACGTGCGTGAAATGCGTTTATGGCCTTGAGCGTGTAATGGCCCTCGGCTAGCGCCATCGGGCCATTATTCACGCCACAGGCCATAAACGCCTACTTTACGCCCTTGATACATAAATAACTATTATATGTATTATTTGAAATATACATCATTATCATTACGTTTGATTGATGAATTTTAAGTATCTTATTTGTATCAAATATTGAAATTCGAACAAAATACCTGTATTGAAAAGGAACATTCTCAGATATATTTATGAACACAAAAAAAATGGATATATACAGGGTGTCCCTAGACCAGTGGGACAGTTGAATATCTCCTGAACCAATAGGAATTTTCAAAATATTATAATTTCACATCATATCGCATTATGAGTGCTAACTTCAGGAATGACTATATTTTCTACGAGGTGCGCAAGAAAGGCTCACAAAATCGAACATCAACTTTTTCAAATGGAACACCCTGTTGCATTTTCATATTCTCCTTGAAGAGCTGAATTCAACGACCTAGCTTACTTGGGGTCTAGCGGGAATGATTTCCGAGATATAGGGTGTGGAAAATCGAGATTTTTCATTTTTGGGAATTTTTTGTGTCAAAACTATTCATTATTGGTCAAAACGGCTTACATGTCCATATCTTAACTTTTGATTTACTATTTACTCGTATTTAATTGAAACAGGGTGGTGTCGTGTAGAATTAGGTATCAGTTTCAGTCTGAATTCTACACCACCCTCTCTGTTTCAATTAAATACGAGTAAATAGTAAATCAATCAAAAGTTAAGACATGGACATGTAAGCCGTTTTGACCAATAATGAATAGTTTTGACACAAAAAATTCCCAAAAATGAAAAATCTCGATTTTCTACACCCTATATCTCGGAAATCATTCCCGCTACACCCCAAGTGTGCTGGGTCGTTGAATTCAGCTCTTCAAGGAGAATATGAAAATGCAATGAAATACAGAGTGTTCCATTTGAAAAAGTTAATGTTCGATTTTGTGAGCCTTTCTTGCGCACCTCGTATAAAATATAGTCATTCTTGAAGTTAGTACTCATAATGCGATATGATGTGAAATTATAATATTTTGAAAATTCCTATTGGTTCAGAAGATATTTAACTGTCCCACTGGTCTAGGGACACCCTGTATATAAAGAAATACATTGAGAATTCCTTGAGAATTCTCATATTCTCCATGTGTTGAAAATATCAATTCTTTCACGGTTTATTCAACAGAAAACAACTACTTTCCTGGCTATTTGCCACGTCGAACATTGAACTATATCTGTTGAATATCCAAAATTCCAAAAAGAGAGCATGAAAGATCAAATTCCTCTGAAATTAAGAATTAACATCATCTCTCAAATCGAATAAAAATATAACTTACCGATATGTTCATCAGTATTGAAATGAAAATTGAAATGTAACGGAGAAGTATTATATGATATCTGATCTTGATGAGCTTAGAACTTCAAAAAAAAATCATTCGTATCAGTGATATGGGAATTATATCTCTCACAAACAGATTATATGAATTCATTTCGGATATCATATCCTCATCAGTAACCTGAAGTCCAGTTTCTCTTTCAGCCATTCTTCATGATATACACAATTTTCATCTCCCTATAATATAACTAAAACTACAACGAACTGAAATCTGAGAATTATAATTTGTTGACATTAGCACTGTCATCGGGCATTGGTTTTTTAAATGTATGATAAATTGACATTCATCAATTCAGAATTTCTTTCCACGTCCTGTATGATGAATGTCAATTTATCATACATTTAAAAAATACCTGTAGGTATACCAACAGCTGCTATGGAAGTTTTGTAAGGCACATTTTCAAACTCACTATCGCTGCTGATTCACATAGATTATTGCGATAATTGCAACCAAACTTTCAAAAATCAAAATGTCAACTAATTTATGTCAAATTGCTGTCAGGCGATATTTCGCTGCTATGGTAATCATCATTTGCATTTATCAAATCCATATCTACCAAGATTTTCATAGTTACAGTGACAACAACGATGTGATACTTCCCGGCCTAGTCCGGGGAATACGTATTTTCCGGACCAAACCGTAAAAATGCTACTTTCTCAAAGAAAAAGCGTCCAGAAAGTGAGCATTTCCCGGGCTGTTGCCGAAAAAAAAAAGGTTTTATAATAGTTGAAGAAAAAATTGTGTTTCACACGACAGGAAATGTAGATGGCAGTAAATCTACTACTTTCCTACCTAGTAAAACAAATAAATATTTCCTAAATATGTATCGAGACCTCACATAAAAAACGTTCATATCTATGGTGCATGGTTGGAAAATGAAAAAATCCGTTCCCACTAAATTATACAGTCAGTCAACTATCGTTGATTCCCATTTGAAAAAAATGCAACACTAAGCAATTCCCATATCTCAACCCTGCACTGAGCACTCTCTTATCTTCTTATAAAGAAAACGTGCCTTGCGAATGTATAGAACTCATGTTTTCCTAACTTCACAAACAACCTCTACAATAGTCACAAGTGTCAATAGTGTCGAAAAGTCGGAAAACAAAACTTTTTTGTTCATACTTATCAAAAACGAAACACGATAGCAAATTTTTGTTAGTGTATTTGTCTGGAGTTGCCCTATACAAAATTCTAAATTCTAATACCTAATCACATTCTTTTTCAACAGTTCCTGATGATGTCTGGGAGAATTTGCATTCATTTTTTGGAGAGAATTTGATACTAGCAACAGAATTGCTTGAGAAATGTAGACTGGTGGAGTACATAGCGGACAATCATTCTAGAAGCATTTTCAAAATTGTTGGTAAACATGAACAATACACCATCTATGACAATATCAACTTCTGCCAGTGTGAAGTTTTTCGAATACAAGTTCTCGAATCTAGAAATAGTGTGACATGTAAACACATATTGGCTCTCAAATTAGGCCAAATAACTGATAAGATAATCAGAGAAACTGTGACTGGTTCTCAGTTGGTTGATTTTTTGAATGAGCAATTGAATATAATGGAGGAAAATAAACAATGAACATATAAAAAGTGGTTTATTTTTCTCCATACTTACCTGGCTAACAATTTATATTTGTCTAGTCTTTGGAATTAATACCACATCCTCTTTGGACAGTAGTTCTCCAACATGGGCCAGAAAACGCTTTTTGGTGAGATACAGATAGTGATTGAGGATTTTCAAATGTCTGAATATTAAACTTTTTTCAGAGAGGTTGTTATGGTTACGCCATCGCTTATTTCTTGTACTTATCTCTTGGTTAGGCAGCGCATTTGTCGAGTTACCCAGCGTTTTTGAATTGGTAAGCATGTAGTTTGGTCTTAGGAGGTGTTCCATTGGGGATGAGGAAGTTAATGTATGGCGGCGGTTGTTTTAATGGAAGTTCATCAGATGATGTGAATGAATAATGGAACAATGAATGGCCTAATTTATTCCTCTTCAAACCTCGATCTACATTTAGGACACATTAGCCAAATATTTAGTAAATGCCACATTCAGTTTTCAACTAACTTTTACCTTAATCTAAACAAAACTGTACTGATTCTCTACCGCGCGGCTTGAAGCTTCAGCCTGAATCTGTTCTAGAGATGTCTCCTGTGTTCTTACGCTACCATTGTGCGTCTGAACCTGAAAAATGTTCAGGTTCTAGAATGGTTCACCAAAACTTCTAGTGTTAACATTTACTTATAGTCTTCATAGGCGAATAAAGGGAAAAATAAAAAACTTATAAAAATAATTTTAAACATTATATTTACATGTTTTGTACTTAAAAATAATTGAAATAAAATTAAAATAGTTGCCTTTCATAGCTTCCAGATTTCACTGTAAGTTTCAGAATATCTCTAAATGGCATTTACTGAAATCAAATAAATCATCTCAGTGTAACACCTTTCATCACCAACTGTTCATAGTACTGTTCGAATTTCAGAAAGTTCAAGCAAAATCATCAATCGATAATGATTCACTAAATATAAAAAATAAATTAAAGAACACCACGTTATATAAATAAAAAATTGCACTGGAGATAGTTTAATATACAACTGTATTTATTGGAACAGAACAAATCAAGCACACTTTCTAACTAAAGCATGCTTGAAATGCTGCCACTGAGTATTATGAATAAAATTTGCGTTAGCAGATTTTTTTACATATCACGCAGACATAAAATACACATACAACAAAGAATATTTACAATAAACGGAAATAAATTAAAAGTTTCCGAGGAGACGAGAGAGGCATCTTGAAATGTTCCATTTCCCTTTCATTTTACTAGAGCAGAACCAGAATAATCAGGCACTTACGGACGGAAAAACTACTATTGTCACGGCAAAAAATAGGCGGAAAAATAAAAGTCAATCCCAAATATAATTGTAGATCTTGCTAGGCTTTCAGAAAACAGGATTAGGTTAACGTCATCCTAGTTCTGGTTGTGTACAACTGGCTCAGCCAATAATAATACTTCGTATTTTTGACAACCTATGACAACTGTCAACATTTGGTAAACAATCATTCCCGATAGCCCGTGTTATGCAAATAGAATGACGTTAATTTCTCTCTCTGATACTTGCGTCTTTTTAATACAACTGTACGTGAACCAAATTTTTTTCAACTTTTAGTTCATCCGGAAACGACAAGATTGTTTATCAATGGCATAGAGATAATAAATAGGTACAGACTGACACTTGACAGCTAAGTTCCAGGCAGTAAAGCTATCTGAATAATTATGTTTCAAACCACACAGGAAAGAAGTTATCAAAAAATTTAATACTTAAATATATTAAATCAGGTGCCTTCTCCGAGTTTTGATCTTGAGTGTTCTAAGAAATTTCTACTATGCTGAAATTCAATCTGAGCTAACTTATGTATGTGATTATATTGTGGAAAATATTCCATAGCACAATATTTATTCATCACACAAAAAATGTTTCAGAACACTCATAAACAAAGGGCAGTTATTCAACTATAGGCAAAACTCTATATACGTAGTACTGTTCTAGAATTGAGTGCCATTGGAAATTATGATAAGATTTCAGTACTTATTTCATCATACGATTGAAATAGTCCCGGAAAAGCTCTGAGGAAGCACCTACTGCTGTGACCTACTACAAAAGAGAAGAATTCCGTAGCTCCTAGTTTATAGTTCTCACTATTTTATTCATTCAGGAAAATGTATGTTTGTCCCATGTAGATAAGCTGATTATTGATGATTGTAACTTGTGACTATTTTTATGGCTTGCATGCTCTAAAAAATTAATTGAGTTGATTCGGGATTCGGTTTAACAAGATACATAGAAACCATACCATTGTTTACAGAATTCCCATTGAAGATGGACGATGCAATAATCATCATTGATATTGATGAGCCTTTGGGGAAGGAGATAGAAGATGGGGATGTCTGGGAGATGACCTATCCTCTAATAAACCCAGTGAGATTTCCATCCATACTGCTCTACTAGAGATGGTCTCATATACTCAGAAAGGGGAATGATAAGGAGAATCATAGATGAAGAAACCCAAAGTCATCTCCACAACGTTATAGCATTCCTGCAGTAGCAGTTTTCAACAAAACAAATTAGATACAGCAGCTTTGGAACCATAAGATCAGCTTTATAATTGATTTTGCCAAGGGACATTGGTCAACATTCACAGATCTCTAGGTTCAAAAAGGGCATTTTTCGTCTACGATCTCCCAGTCAGAGATATAACGCTACTTGGGACCTACAAGTGATTTTATCCCACTTGGAATCTTGGCCTTCCAATGACGAACTAACTTTAGATAATCTCACCAGAAAGCTCGTTACTCTGCTAGCACTAATCACGGCCCATCGAAAGGATTACGGACCTTAATAGGCCACAGCTCTGTGATTCTTCAGCCTTATTACATTAGTTAAAGAAATTTCCATTTTCAGAAATTTTTAGAACCCGCACACCCTATAGAACAGCAACAACCCTAAGAATGGATCGTTGGATTCGGGATACCTTGTCAGAAGCAGGCATCAACACGAGGCGTTTCTCTGCATATTCAACTGCACTTGGCGACGTCGGAGCTTTCAGAAATGGGGTAATCTTGGAAACCATAAGAAATACTGCTGGTTGATTGTCGTCTTCTAGGGTGTTTGCGGGCTTCTTCAATTGCCCATTGGTAGATAATCTTGCCCATGTGAATTTATTATCCGAGAGTTGGGATTGAGACTTTTTGATGAAATTATTCTATCCGTCTTTCGGTTGCACGAGCAACCCTCAGAAGTCTTCAAGATACTTGTGCAAGCAAGGAATAACGGGGGCCTTACCTTTTAACGTGTGATCTCGAACACTTTCATGGGCCATCAGAAAAATGTCTGCAGTCGTTTGGATTTGAACCTACGACCGGCAAGTCATCGCGATTAGAAAACCAACACTTCCATCACGCGGCTACCTGGTTCTGAAAATACCAATTTTTCTTTCTTTCTAGAAGAGAAAAAATGTTCCCATCTCTGGAAACATAATATTGATAACGCAACTTCTGTCTTTGAACATCTACACAAGTTGAAGATCACTCCCACCCACCCGATATTACCCATGAGTTGAAGTGATTGAAGTTGCATTTTGGCGCTATGAATCTTTAAATATGAAGATGAACTAGGAGAGACAGAGACTTGGGCTGCTGGCTGTCTTGACAGCAGGTAAGGTAGAGCGTGACCAAGAGGGTGATAGGTAATTTTTTTCCTTCATATCTTTGAAGTTGTGATCAGTACAGAATAGCTTAACTACACAAGTGATCTTTTCGAACGAGGCGCTTCATAAAATTTCGATCGAACTTCACAAGTTCGTTTGATCGAGCAAATATTCGTTCCCTACTCCACATGTTCGGTTCTTCAGAATCGTTCGAGCATGGAGATATGACAAGTGACAAAGAGAACAAGGACATCTTAACCACTCTTCTCATTCTACATTCTATAGTTTTCGTTATTCGGAGAGAAAAATCAAAACGCAAATAAAAGCTCTGAAATTATCGGTGGTAATGAGTGGTATAAGTGTAGAAAATGTAGAATATGTGGATAACCTCAGATAATGCTAAACAAATCAAGTTGCTCTATGGACAAGAGGTGTCTGAGATTTCTGGTGCAAGTTGTGATGATGAATGTTAGAAATATAAGAATATTGAGGAAGGTAAGTCTGTAGGTAACTAGTTCTGCACTTATGCGGTTTTTATTTGTTCCCTTTTGTTCCTCTGAGAAGATGAGATGAGAATATATCTTGTTTTGTCAACAAAAATTCCACCATATTATGCACCCTGTCTACATTTCCAAAAATGTCTAGAGATGAAGATACCGAGAATCATGTTCCAGAGTATCATAGCCGTGCTCAGGAGGTTGTTTCAACTCTACTTCCTGATAAATCTGGAGAAGTTTATGAATATGCCTATAATAAATTCATAAATTGGTGTCAGCGAAAGAAAATAAATGACATTGAACACCTCAAATCAGCCTTACTCATTAAAATACCTGTCACTGAAACTAATAAATCCAGGTCATTTATTGTTGTTGGAGTAACTATCTGATGGCTATTATCAGAAAATACATGGATCTTTGCCCAAAAAACTATGAAGTATCGCGATTTTTCATCAGATATCATAATGGATTATGCCATAGAATGGTAGTAGGGATATATAAGATAAGCAGTGATGTACAAGAGGTGGAGAAATTTCTGAATTTAGAAGAATTTTACAGGTCACAGATAAAGACGAAGTTCTGCCACATTTTTAGATGCTGGAGGCGATCTAATATCTCTCAAAAGGCTAGGGGATTGGAAATACAGCACTGTGAGAAATGGATATGTTGAAGAATCATTCAGAAATAAGAAAGATACTGCTGACAAAATATTGGGAATTGATCAACCCATCACCAGTAAGGTCATCTGCCCTGTGATCACTGACAATAGTGATGCAATGATTATTCATGATGATATGTGGCCAGCGTAGTCTCGTGGTAAAAGCGTCAATGTTCTATCCACGTTGGATTGCCGGCAGGTGGGTTCGATTCCCACCACGACCTCAGAAATTTTTCTGATGACCTAATAAAGTGTTAGGGATCACACGTTAAAAAGTAAGACCCCCGTCATTCCTTGCTCGCACAAGTCTCTTGAAGACTTCTGAGGGTTGCTCGTAAGGGAGCAACTGAATGATGGATAAGAACAATTTTAGAACAATCAGGTTTATTAAAATTTCGAGGATGTTTGAATTGTAGTTTCAATATAAATATTACAAATTGGCTATGTATTTTTGTTTGAGTTTCTTTTTGAATGAAATGAGTACTAACCTATGTTGTTTATTCTTGATGACCTAGTACATCCTTTTTAGTTCCTAGGCCTTAAATTTCAACCACAGCTCCTAGGAACCATAATTCTTGCCTAGTAACATATACACAAGCACCTATTTTTGTGTCAGTAGTAGAAACGTCAACTTCAAGGCTAATTTTGGAAGTGAAATGGCCGACTTCTGAGTCGGTTGCAGAAAAAATAAAGTTTTCTTCATTATATTTACGTTTTATTATGTCTTCGAAATTCAGAGAACTATAGATGGAAATGATATAGCTAGACGCTTGTGTTTGTTATCTTCATCCGTGATTCGAATATACCGAAAAGGCAAATATCGTCCTGATTAGTCTGAAATACCAACTATGGACCATTTCGGGTAGTAACGAATTTGTGCAAGTCTGTGAATGTGAACAAACCAATGAGGATTGAATAAAAGAAGTATTTTTCGGTTTATCTACTCTTCCTAATGTATGGACATGGATTCATTACACAAATTTCCTTTTGGGGATATAGAATTGTGTGAGAAAGTCATATGGCAATACCTACATGCATGTATGCACTTTTTAGCTGATAATCTTACTAATAGACTGGCAGTTATTAGTGACAGATTTTCGGACGTGATTTCACCCAGTATGCCTTCTGGAGGGTATCATTATGTATATATTTTTATGATAAAATATTATATATGAAAGAATCCTCCCGGGTTCTTCATGCATTCAAGTTGATTAACATTATTTTGTTCGCAAATGAAAAGTTTTGATACGCATATTTTTGACATAAAAATATATACATAATGATGTCCTCCAAAAGGCGTACTGGGCAAAATCACGCCCGGAATTCTGTCACTACCTGCCAGTCTGTAATGGAAAGCTAAGGTGAGTCAGGAATCAAACCTCAGTATTAGTTTCCTGAAAACCTGAATCCTGTGGTTTTGTTTGATTGGAATTCAGGACCATCTATAGGTAAACATCAAATATCTGGGGAAGGCATCAGCAATAGCCTCAGTTAAGATTCCAAATTCATCACAGGATTCTTATGCGAGTGTGCTCAGGAAGCAAGCATGTTTATGATAGAACACAGGCTTGATCTTATTTGAGATGTATTCATTGTTTTTGTCCCTTACCAAAAATTTGAAGTCATCACACGAAAATCATAAAAGAATTAAGGACAAAAAGTGTGTAGATATTCATGAATATTTATCAGTTCAAAACAGACGCATTGGCTCATAATTTGCAACAAAAATACATTTTAATGGTATGACAAATCTTTTGAGGTCTGCAAAAACAGTGTTATTATTGAATGTGATTAATTCAATACCAGTTCAGTGGCCTTTCTATAACTCCGCCCTGTCTATGAATCATAATCATTTAAAGTGCCTTTCCCCAAGTAATTTTCAAAAGTAGTAGAGCTATACCAGCTTGGGCACCCTAGTTCATATTTCCACCACCAGTTTGAAGGTCGCGACACGTTATCTGTCATGTGCCGCAACCGAATCACCGCCAGCGCCCACCTACCTATAAGAACTAGCGTGTAGCGAAACTGATGTAGAGTAACATACAACCTTCCAATTTCATCCTTTTCATTTCTTGTTTTGTCTTATCACTACACCACGAGTACTGCACTGGAGCTAAATAATTCGGATTACTATTTGCTGTGTGGTACCTATGCCAGTTTTAATTCAGAGCGTCGAAATAGTATGTTCACTTTTTTCACGAAATTTTCGTTCTTCGTGGTCCTAGTGAATTTCGATCATGTGAAGTGTCTGATATTGAATGAAATTTTGTGGTTTCCAACTGCGCTGAAATATGTTTATTTGAGTAGCTGTGTGCCTGATCTGTCAGGTGAGTTGATGTGAATAACATCTTCATAACAATTAAGTACTGGACCCCGCTGAGTTCCTATTTTTCTTTCATTTAATTGAGAATCAGTCTCGCGGCAAAATTTAAAGTTTCATCTGTCAGTTTGCAGATACCTAGCAAGTTTGGGAATAATCGTCTGACTCGGCTCGTTTCTTTACCGCAAATATATACAGTGTGAACCCTAACCAAAAAATCCTGAGATTTAAGAGAGTTTCGCCGCAAGCATGACAGGCTGGAGGAAGCAGAGCATTGTTTATGTTTACTCAGGTCCCCGGGAACAGCTAGCAACATCCAAAATGCCTTCCTCCCTCGATAAAGAAAGGAAAACCGAGAAAAATCACGCGGCGATCAATCCCGTTCGTGGTCGACTGTTGCAACAGACTGTCCGACAAACCAGTGAGAAACTAATATGACAGTACCTACATGCATGTTTGTGAAACACTTTATAGCCGAGAATGTTATTAATGAAGAGCAAAGGAGTGTTCTGACACACCTTTCTGGATCAAACATCTGCATTAGTTTCCTGATAACTTGAATTCTATGTGGTCCGGTTTGATTCGAGTTCAGGAACAGTGTAATTATTGAATGTGACAAATTCAATACCAGTTGCCTATTGCCAAATAATTCATTAAGTAGTAGAGCAAAACAGGTCACGCTTGTTTATATTTGCGCTACCAGTTCTACGGTCGCGACACGACAAGCCATTCATCAGCTGCCACCTGTCATATGCCCTGATCGCCTAATATGATAGACTGGAAGAAGCAGAGCAATGTTAATTAATGGAACATCTCCGGAACTTTCAAAATGCCTTCCTCCTCGATAAAGAAAGGAAAACCGAGAAAAATCCCTAACAAACACACATCGAACACATTTTATCCCACTTGTCTGGCTTCCGGAATGGGCGGCACCCGACGTTCGATCCCGTTCGTGATCGACTGTTGCAACAGACTGTCCGACAAACCAGTGAGAAACTAATATGACAGTACCTACATGCATGTTTGTAAAACACTTTATAGCCGAGAATGTTATTGATGAAAAGCTAAGGTGTGTGAGAGGCCAAACATCTGCATGAGTTTCCTGATAACTTGAATTCTATGTGGTTTTGTTTGATTCGAGTTCAGGAACAGTGTAATTATTGAATAAGTAGTAGAGCAAAACCGGGCACGCTAGTTCATAATTGCGCTACCAGTTCAACGGTCGCGACAAGCCATTCATCAGCTGCCACCTGGCGTATGCCGCGATCGCCTAATATGACAGGCTGGAAGAAGCAGAGCAATGTTAATTATTGGAACAGTTCCGGAACTTTCAAAATGCCCCCCTCCCTCGACAAAGAAAGGAAAACCGAGAAAAATCCCTAGCATACACACATCGAACACATTTTATCTCACTTGTCTGGCTTCCGGAATGGGCGGCACCCGACGTTCGATCCCGTTCGTGATCGACTGTTGCGACAGACTGTTCGACACAGAAGCGGCGGCGATGGGAGACTGATGCGAGGGTCGCGCGTTCGGATTGAGAATGAAATCGGTGAGCGTGACGTCAGAGTTGCCGCCGCTCTCGAGCGGGATCGGCTGCGAGCGGAAGTGTTCGAGCATCTCGTAGATGGACTGGAACCAGAAATGCTGCACCCTGCACTGGCCTTGCTCGTTTATCGTCATCCGGAGGTGTTTGGCGCGTCCCTGGAAACCAATGAACTCAATGTAAACAACTGGAAGGGAGACTGCTGTTTTCTCTAGAGCAGCGTTACTCAAAGTGTGCTTCTCGGAGCCCCGGTTATAATAGGAGAATATGTTGCGTTTCAACAAAGGAATTTGACAAAGTATTAATATATATTTCAATTCCTTATTCCATGTAACTTTCATGATTTCAATTCTGAATATATTTTAAATTCGAGATATTGTTGTTGTTGTTGTTCTTTATTACCCCAAGAAACATATTTGTTTATAATAGGGATACATAAACATATGATAAATATATATATATATATATATATATAAAACAATAAAAAAAAAACTAATTAACAAGTTATGTCAATATAACATAATAATTAAAATAAAACCATTCCAAGTATTCAAATGAGAATAAATTGCTCCGTTTATTGTGCCATGAGTATATATTTTTTCATATTGACTTTGAATCTTGTTTCATCATCAATATGTTTCAAATCATAAGGTAATGAATTATATAAAATGATTCCGTTGTAGAATACTGATTGTTTGCCAATGATGGAGTTATATGGGTTTGCTATTAATGAATTCAACTGTCTCGTTGCATGAGTATGAATTGTATTTACTTCAGTAAAGTTCAAGTTGGATATTTTTATTTTTTTTTCTCACAAAATGGATGAAAGAACAAATTTTCATTTTATATAAAGATGATAAATTCAACAGATTTTTTGGTTTGTAAAGATTAATAGTTGGTTCCAGGTAATGTAAATTGTAAATGCACTTAATTGTTTTATTTTGTAATTTCATTAATGGTTTCAAATGTGATATACTTGTGCTTCCCCAAATTGATATTAATATACCAAACTATGTTCTCTCTCTAACTGAAATGAACATGGATGAAGGTGAAGTATCTGTCCTATACTGTAACTCATAGGAGTGAAGTACAATTCCAGATCCACTTGAATCGCCACTAATGAAACAACATACAACCACGGAAATTAAAATGCATTGAGAACTTCGCTTGTTGTGGTCGGACTACCGTGGTTAGACCTGTCGCTGAACGTAGCCCTTGTCACAATACAAGATGTTCAACTCAATAAATCTCAACATTCAAAAACACTAACAGTTGTCATTTCTGTGTCCAATACCATCCAGTGACAACATTAACCTTCGATAATTGTTTTGATGATGATGATGAATGATGAGATGGAGGAGGAGATATTATAATTGATGTTATCTACTGGTGAAATTAATGTATTGTCCCCTAAACGAAGACGAGTTTGCATTCAGTGTTTTCAAATATAACCCCGGTGACCCAGCAAAAGATTCAGACCCATGGCACACGCCAAGGCCCATAACCTAATGAGTTCATGGACTATATTATCTGAATAGGTGATCAGAGTGATCTGTCACGTTATACATTTGGATCGGGTTGGTGACGAGTAACTTTCTGAAAATGCCTTGTAGTGTATTGAATTATACTCCACGGAATACCCCACTTTTGTTTTCAGGTTTAATGACCAGTTCCACTAACTTAGAATTTTTGTTGAAATCCAGATTCAGGAATGAAGTCCGATGGTTAAAATATCTTGGGAATAATCAAAAAATGAATATTGTGGGATGACCATCCTTTATCGGAAAATAAATCCAGGGTGAATAGGCTGTTACTTTATGAAGAACATAAGCAGAAATACATTTCCAGAAAATAAGCCCCTTGGAATGAGTATATCTCCACCTTTATTTGTTCAAGAGAAAAATTACCTATTACATATGAATCCAGTGAATTGAGGCCTTGAAATAAATAAATAAATACAGACCCGCCAAATATCAGTTAATGAAAGTTGCCTGATGACAGGGAGATTATCAATTGAACAACTATTATTATTTTTCATACACTTTGAAAGAATTTCATTATTATTAGAATTTGGTTTGTCTACAGCTAGTAATCTGATCATTTTTCTCAGTTGTTCACAAACAAAATGAAGTTGTTTACGTGCTTTTGATTTATGTCCAGTGTCACCAAAGTGCAAAGATTTTCTTTAAGAAAATCTTCCAAGATTGCAAATGTTCCTTAATTTGGTGCAAAGGTGGCATGACACAGAGTATTTGGAGGAACAGAGGAGGATATGTGAGAAGGCCTGTACTAAAGATTAACAAACTTTAATGATCTGTGCATGTACCACCTCAAATGGTGAATATACCATAACCTCAACCATGCCAATTCTATTGGTTAGTTCTTGAACTTGCTTGTCTTGCAACTTTTATATGGACAATTGTTGGTGATTTCTTTCATTTTATGAGTTCTACATCCTATAAAAATGGCATTCTTATAAGAACACCTCATATGATTGATTATTCATCATTTTTTGAACTACTAGTTGCAACAAATAAAGTATCACTGCACTATTAACTTCAATTCTTATTTTTATGTAAAACAAAGAGGAAACAGAAGGTTTCATTCAAAACTATTCACTATAATTGGATTCCTACTTGAAAACTTTTTACAGGCTAAACTAATTAGACTGGGATCATAAGAATCATCAGATTCAATATTTTGGAAACATCAAAATTAAATAATAATGGAAACAAAACAAGAGAATGAGATTCATATCAACAATAATTTTACCTGAAAATTGAATGTCAGGACAAATTCTCCAGTCCTTGTTTCACTTTGGCGTACCAAAAACCTGCCATGTCCACTAGCCCCATCATGTAAAACTTGTTGGGCAGCTTCAGATCTGCCCAGTGTACCATGGAACCACAACTCTTTCTTGAGAGTTTGACCAATGTCAGCCTCCATAGCTAAAACATAACAGAAGTCAATAAATTTAATGGTAAATGATTACAAAGCACCATATTTCACTTGAAAATAGTTAGACATTCCTTGCTATGTGTTGGCAGCAGTTAGTGCCATTTATTCTCAATAATTAACAATTCAACATTTCTGTAGCCAACCTCACAATATGAAATGTCTAACTTCTGAAAATATGGTGAATAACAAAAATCTATGTTCTACAGATTTAGATGATTTTGAAGTAGAAAACTTGCAGAGACAATAAATATAGCTTTTTCACCCACTTAATGGTTCTCCAGAAGGGCATAAGTCAAAGTTAGAACTGGAGGACAATCTATCCCCTCCCCTTCCAATATGCCTGGGTGGCAAATCAGGAGCATCAGGATGATGATAATCTTTGTGATGCTCATGTCCATGGGCTGCTTCCCCCCCTGGTCCTGAGCGCATGCAATATCTTATGGTTGCTAGCCAAGACCTCATGTCATCTGTGTCATGTGCCTCTATAACAAATTCCATATTGTTGCTTGCCTTCAGGACAAATGTATTTTCATGGTCTGGCATTTCCAAAGCTGTTGTTTCTCTAGCTTCTGTTATAAGAGCACAAAAAACTCCACTTCTTGGCTAAATGAAGATATTGCATAAATCATTTAAGTTTGCACATTACCCTAAAGATATACCTTTTGATTTTTAGGAGGAGAATAAAACTCTAGCATGTATCCTCCAGTTGCTTTGACAAGCTGGAGGCGGCATCTTTCCCATTTTGGTGGCCCTCCAGGCTGATCCAAGCTTTCAGGAGTAGAATAATTGACTATTCCTTCCTTTCTACACTCTACAATTATTTTGGCTAATTTGGTTTTATTGTGAGCAATATCAAAGTCATCTGAGTGTTGTTTATGGAAGAGATCTTTGCTTTTTCGCAGAACTTTGAAACTGAGCCTGTAAACAAATATTTTGTCAACATAGTGGAACAAGTAGGTGACATGTGATAGTTACCTAAACAAACTTACCTTCGAAAAAACGGCTTGTGTTGCATTTTTGGAGAGCCCTCATCAACCTCAACTATATCTTCTTCGTTTCTTGTGTTTACTCCATTTGATATTTTTGTATTATGCAATCTTCTTTTATTGAAATCCATCTCAAATTGTTCAGTAAAAGATTCCACAAACTTTCGCAAGAAGTCCTTATGTGTTACTGTTGATCTTACATTTTCTGACAAATTCATATTGATGAAATGGATGGAACTTTTAGAAAAGTCTTGAGCTGCTGCTTGGGCATGTCTTTCACAAAAATTCATCCATGCATTATCTGCTGTAGTCACATCTAGTGCAGTTGCCATTTTTCATTCATAAAATTATTTTATCAAACAATTACATCATTGTACTGCTCCCAGAATGTTATTGTTTTGATATCTTTTTGATGTTTTGATTAATTTCTTGATACTTGACGCCATCGCCATTCACCATTCACATTTCCATTTCACAATCACAACAAAACAAAAACTGACACTTGTGACTTGACAATTCACACTGACGTCACGGTCACACATTTTTCTTCTCTTTTTAGACATTGTGAATTTGTAGTACTTATTCTTTAATTTCACTATGAATGATCAATGGGTATGGACCATTTGACACAAGGAACGATGAAGGGATGAGTTCGAAATAAATTAGAAAAGAAGTAGAGTAGTTTAACCCCAATGACCGCATAAACATAAACATAACCTATGAATCTAAACAAAACCACACACCACACTGCACAGCGAAATGTCAAAGACATGGAATGAATTAGGAATTTCTTTGCATGAAGAGGTGAAAAACGCAATAAAATCTTTGAATTTTCCGAATGCTACACCTGTGCAGACATACACAATACCACAATTATTGAATAAAAAAGATGTAGCTGCTGAAGCAGTAACAGGTACTATGATCTACAGATTTATCTTTTATGATCCTGGTATCAATATTGTATTTATTCATCCATATGATTTACAGGATCTGGAAAAACGTTAGCATTTTTAATTCCCTTACTAGAAATATTGAAGAGAAGGGAAGCTGAAGAAAAATGGACAAAACACCAAACAGCAGCAGTTGTAATTTCTCCCACAAGAGAACTTGCTCTACAAACTAATTCTGTGTTGGATTCATTATTGAAACACGTTTCTGTAAGTTTGTAAGATTACTAACTTCATTTGGATATATATAACTAGTAAAAATGAGACTTGAATATGATTTTACTAGACATGTTCTGCTGAAATAATATCAAACAGAATAACATCTGACAAGAATATTGCTACTTGGGTGTTCATAATGTAAATATTCAGAATATTATTTAATGTTGACATCTGCAGAATTGTCTTGAATTCTCTAATTATTATTGTCTCATAGTTTCTCAAGTAGTTTCTGCTAAATTAAGGATATTCTTGGTTCTTATTATTCTAGAAATCTCAAAGGTGTCATTGAGATTTCTCTACTTTTCACTATGTCTCTATTTTGAATTAACTCAGTCTAAATCTATGGTAAGTGTAAAAAACTTCACTGTTTATTGATATTAATAATAATTATTATTGTATGAGTATTTCACATGAAGTGCTAGCAGAACATGTCTTGTAGTCAAGAATTTTGTGGAAATCTTATCTTTTGTCAAGTTTTTTTTACAAAATTTCACTAATTCAAATTGATTATTTTGCAGAATATAACACAAATTTTATTTGTTGGTGGTAACAGTGTGGATGATGATGTCAAGAATTTCAAAAACAATGGTGGGAACATTATCATTTGTACTCCAGGTCGTTTTGAGGATTTGCTCACTAGAAGACAAGATCTCAACTTGGCAAATTCCTTGAAGAATTTGGTAATTTATTTTGGTTCAAGTAATTAATTCATTTTGGTTAAAGTTAAAAGTCACATCCCACTCAGATTAGTCAGTCATTGAAATTCAGAAAACATCAATTGAAATTCAGAAAGGCTGATTTCTTCTTCAGTTTTGTTAATTAAAGTTCAACTGAATTTAATGAAGAAAAATTCTTTGAGTTCATATGGCAATGTTATTCAATTATATTTTGAATGCTCCTTCATTTTTGTATTTGTTGCTCTTTTGGGAACATTTTTTGATGTGATTTTCCATAATTTCCTACAGATTCTCTGTGAAAAATTTCATACCTCATCTCACTATTTTTTTTAGAAACCAATATTCCAATCAAGATGACCTAACAATATATAATGAAACTTTGATTTGATATTAGTAATACCACAGTTTGCTGCTGTAATACAGGGTTTGTAGCAGAATGGAATGGTATTTCTGAAAATCACATCAGACAAATGTAAATTTCCCAACTGGTTCTGGCATGTTCACATCACTCTCTTTTGGTGGCCAAATTGGACTCCACCTGTTTAATTTAGCTTTTTACTTTCAAGCAGAAATGCCAAAAAATCAATCACTTTTTTTACCTATTTCAAACAATAATGGGGAAGTTTCTTATATTGAGGTTTTTATCTCATTGTGAAGTTTGTAAAAAATAATATATATATAAGTATTTTTTTTCGGCTTCATTCTGTTCTGACCGATGGCAGTAAATTAGGAAGGATAGTATCATTAAATGCAGCCGATAGTGATTCACTGAATCAATGATATTTTCGTTTAGGGTAGAGCTCTATTGGAGATATTCCAATGCATAAAATCAAAACCATAACCTGTTAGAATGAAGCCAACTACCCTCTGCATTCCTGCTCCCAGTGCATTTGTGGTTATACATTTTTTTGTTCACCAGTTTTACTTCTTCTTCTTCTATATTTTTCATTCATTAGCTTTTCCATACGTCACAGTTTGCCGCCCCGAAGATTAGAAATTGCTTCAATTTGAAAATGAAAACGACAAGGACTTTATCGATCGCCATTCTGTACAGCATGGACATAAAACTGGAGAGTTCGGAACTTATTTTATAAAAATTCATCTGAAGGGAACTTCCCCATTGACATAAATATAACAATTATATTTATACATGTATTATACAACAAAACATATGAAATACAATAGATGAATGTAACAGGCTGAAGGAGTCCTGTCCGTGGCCTATTGGGTTACCCACTTTTATTATCATCATTATGAAAATTTCTCAGACCTATTCTTCGTGGTTTTCCATTATTTGGTTATACAATGATAATAGACCAAGAGCCAGGAGTAAAACTTGGCGCCTCATAAGTTACCACCAGAATGGCATTGCAAGAGCATTATTATTCATTCAGCATTGAAATGGCGTCTGCCGGCTGAGAGTGATCGCTTAATAAGCTACTAGGCACCAAATTTTACTGCTGGCTCTTGGTCTATAACATGAGAGCTTTAAAGCTTTAATTTTCAATGGAATTAATTTTTTCCATTCAAAAAATAGCTGAGTTATGCCCATTTCAAAAACATCTTTCCATTCTACAGTTCCCTGTACTTATTCAGCAAAAATGTAGCAAACAAAATCATTTGAATTGACTGCCCTTATAGGAAATATTAATTTTGGATGAAGCAGATAGACTTCTTGACTTAGGTTTTGAAAAGTCTGTCAACACCATCTTGAGCTATTTACCTAGACAGAGACGTACAGGTCTATTTTCAGCCACACAAACCAAAGAAGTGGAAGATTTGATAAGAGCTGGTTTGCGAAATCCTGTTTTAGTCAGTGTTTCAGCCAAGGCTGCTCAGAGTACCCCAGAACTACTGAATAATTATTATATTGTAACAAAAGACAATGGTAAGGAAAATCCAGTTATGGGGGTATAAGCATGTGTGAGTTCTTAGCTCATATGCACCTTTCTTCAAAACCTGAATGTTCAATTATTGTCAAGATTCATCCATTATACAACATCCTTGAATTATAACACTCTTGAATTTCTATACATCTATCACACCACTATACTAGAGTTCCTAAATGTATTAGGATAAATAATGAAGGTTCTCCAAGACATACATAAACTAATCTACTCTACTCATAGGGAAGTAAGTATAAATGGGCTTTAGCGCTCGACTCACTATAGATCGCCTATCACATTGCTAAATGGGATTGTTGGTTTGAACCCGGCCACCGGAAGATCATTTTCAATACCTAACATAAATGGTGCACTCGTTAAGCGTTCTTGTTCTGTACTCTGATAATATCTTGCTCATATCTTGGTACCCAAGAAGTGGTTCAAAATCCACTAGGAGCTATGTAGTTGTCTAGCACTCCTCAACTACGCATGAACATGCACATTCAGACAGGGATTTCAACTTTGATATAGATACATCAATATCTGGTACATCAGAGTTCCACAAAGTGACTATATGTTTTCACAAAATAATTACAAGAGTTCCTATACGAAGATAATAATAATATAAGTTTATTCAAGAATTCTTGGTTGAACAGGGATGTGGCCTGAACCTATATTCCATGCCGGCCCCGCATCATATTCTGTTTCCATTTTTGTAGAATCACGTTATCCGATGAAAATTCTAATAGAGTGAATTGATTTACCGTGTTCTCACAGTTGGGAACTGTACAAACTTGCATCTTTCTCCTAATTCTCTCAATTTGTCCAACCTTTGAAATTTATGTCATGTACGTCCGTGTACTGTCAGTTCCCACTTTGTCCATCAATTTATTTATGGTTATGCTTAATTGTCACTGCTTGTCATAGTGTCCGTATTCTAATATACAAAAACGTCAAAACAGCAGTGTCAAGTATACATTTAGGAACTCTACACTATACCACAACTATAAAATACTAAACTATACTTCTAAACACAACACTCAATCATTTCATGTCTTACATCACTCAACTAATTTTCTATCATAATATAACAATGTCTAAATTCACCTGTATGCTTTCAAACCCGTTGTTAAATTGCAGAATGTAGTCGGGTTATTTAAAAATTGTATTCCAATCGTTTTATCAAAGATATTCCAGTACTTTGTAGTCACTTATAGTCAATGATGTAACGAAATGTCACCAGTGCCATATACTGTACAAGAAATGAAGTATGCAGCCACGTCTACTTAAGTGATTCATCTTCTAGTTTGAATAAACCCAAATACATTGATTACCTCATATTTTCGAAGGAAATATTATCCTAAAGTAACTATGAATTAATCTTTCGACATATTGAAAAAGCAATAATCAATTCGCCATAGCGAATAACACGTCGCCCCACCTGACGGCAACAAATTGAAACGAAAAACAAATGTGAATCAATGGAAACAGACCGCTTTGCCAGGTTTCAGTAACTTCGATAGGTGGCGTACGCATATTTTCTATCACGAATAGAAAATGAATGTTTATCTCCTGGTAATTTCTGTAATTTGCGGATTTTCTTCGACATTTGGCAACTATGGCCTCTATTCTTTTAATCATAACAGTTACAATGAGTAGGAAATTTCCAACCGTAGATAAATAAAAATGGACCGGACTTAGTAACTTCTCATCAAACTATATTTCCAGTTATTCAGGGTGAATCACCTAAGGTGCATCACTTCTTATAAGGTCTAAAACCATGATGTCTTTATAATTTTCCGGGGAAAGTGGGAAATATCAACTCATCGAATCTTATACACCAATTTTTTATAGATAGACACATATTAGAGACTGGAAGGTTTCACCACAAATCATTGAGATATTACAGATATTTTTTTAGAATGCTTTTTCTCAAACAAAGAAGTTGGAGTGATTAAAACGAAGAATCATCTGATAAAATTTTAGGAATGAGTTGTATTTTGAAGGATTCATTTCTTCATCTTCAAGTGTTTTTGGGAAATAAAACCTTTCTTATTATGTTGTATGATATTTGAATAGGATGAATGCCTAAGATCAGGTGGAAATCACTTATATGACATATGTAAACATTTTTTGAATTGACTCGGCCGTTACTTGATGGAAATCCATGGCAAATGTAAAAACTTCACAAACGATAAGAGCTTCGTCAGGTGATATACTGGTACAATGAACTAAACTAACGTTGGCTTGCTTAACTTTTATATATCTTACCTACCCAACCACAGGTAACTAATCCTTCAGGTTGGGTAGGTAAGATATATAAAAGTTAAGCAAGCCAACGTTAGTTTAGTTCATTGTACCAGTACGAAGCTACTGTGTTAGCGAAACATGTCGTGTGTTTAATAAATTTTGTGGAAATCTTATCGTTTGTGAAGTTTTTACAGATGTAAACATGCTAAAAAAATAAAAATCAATGATCTCCAGGATTCGATTTCTATTAAACAAATCCTTATGCTCTGTTTTTTATAGGAAAACTGGCTACTTTAATATCATTTCTTGAACAAAAAAGTGTTCAGAAAGCCATGCTCTTTTTACCAACATGTGCTACCGTGGATTACTGGTCAAATATATTTCCTCATATTATTCCGAAAAAATTGGAGTTGTCTGTTCTTGCTATCCATGGTAAAATGAAAGCCAAACGTAACAAAATAATGGAAAAATATCGAACCATTGAAAAGGGACTGTTACTGTGTACAGATGTGATGGCTAGAGGAATAGATATTCCAGAGGTAATGTATATCTCATCAATATTGTTTTGTCTATAATCTGTTTCGTAGGAAAACCACAATATTTTGAAAAGTCAATACAATAATAGTTTGAGGATAGATATTGGGGCAAAAGTAGAATTGTGTACGTAATTTAGAAAATATATTGTACCTAACTATTTAGTTACCAAACGCAAATTGTGTAAGTCTAAATAATACAATGTTACCTTCCACACCCTGTTTCTCTCCTATTAGCAATAATGTGTCAAGGCAAATTGGACCAATTCATAATATTTCAAAGTAAAAAAGTATGCAACGTTATTTTATGATCCCTATATACCGGGTGTCCCAGAGCTTTTAAGCCAGCAGATATGAAGGTTATCTTACATACAAACATTTTGATAGAAACTATGGAATTCATTAGAGCAAAAGCTCTCCAAAATGGTGAGATCAAATCACCGTTGTGTCAAATATTCTACTAGAAACTAGAAACCACCCCTTACATTGGTTTTTCGAATTGCACCCCCATGTTTTTTTCGGTTCATCTTCTCGCCCATTAGACTTTTGACAATTGGATCGCAGATAAAGTTCCTTAAAACCCATATTTTCCATGAAGAATCAATGGAATGTCACTTCCGGTTTTACCGGAAATAGACCTAGGTCGAAAATTTCGAATGAAACCCTGAAAATATTACGCCATACGTCATTCGATAGAGCGGAAAATGCCTTTCAGGCCTTTTAGGCCTGTTCGTTTGTATTGCTAAACTTGCTAAAGTTGTTTTTTTCCATAGTTGTCTCTGTTCATGGCATGATTTAAACAAAGAAAGTCATAGAAAGAAATCAAGTTCAGCAGGTAGAGCAAGGACAAACGAACAGGCCTTTTATGTCATATCACAAGTAAACTTTTGTCTTTAAAATGGAGGCGCAGGAGACATTTTTTCTATAATCATGTGGCGACACTGTGGTCGATCGAATTTCTCACAAGCAACCTAATACAATAGCAAATGAATGCACTTCGATTAGTTTAGATTAATTAGTACTAATTCCTTTTCAAAAATTTCGAAGAAAATTCAAGAGAAAGAATGTGTTAGAAACACTCCAGAGATACCCACCAAATTACATTAATCACTAGTATTATATTATCATTATTATTATATATGTTGTGTGATTCAGTACCATCACCCCGTATTATGTTTAGAATATAGACGGGTGCTGGTTTTATGACTAAGAGATATTGAATGCATGATTAAGGAGTTACATAAGCTAGATAAGAGAGGGTGACAGGGAATAGTTAGGATGACCAGTGCAGTTGAGACTAGAGAGCTGTAAAGGTGTTATTGTCCTAGAATACAAACTTGATATTTGAAGACATGGATATTATTTAAGCAACTTCTCAGTTGTCCCCCTTAACAATGTCATCCGAAAAAAAATACTAAAAGGAATCCTGATTGGGGATGAATTAAAATTTTCGCATGATTCATCACAGTGTCGCCATATTGGTTTTTGAGAGAATTTAGGAACAAATATCCACAGGATTTCATTCAAAATTTTCGACCTAGGTCTATTTCCGGTAAAACTGGAAGTGATATTGAACTGTTTTTTCATAGAAAATATGGGATATAGTTCCGCAGCTATATTTTCTTTTTAAATGTCAAATCTTACATGAAATACAAGTGAATGACGTCTTGCCCAATGAATCCGTTGTCACTTGGTATATCAACCATATTCTCAATTCACATGCACTGTAGGGCTTTTCAAGTCGAAAATTTGTTCATTCCAACAAGTACCAGGTCGTGAATTATATAATTATTCGATCGGTTTTTACAAATGGCCTTGAAATTGGCCCAATGAAAATGGATTTCCTATAATATAATTTTGATGACCAGTTGACACCCGGAAAGCTCTTATGTCCCTAAATAGGTTTATTTCGTAATAAAAAGCACCAGAATAATTTTCACTCAATTCACTCAAAAAACAAGAGAATCATTTTGTAAGCTATGAAAGAAGCACCCGCTATCACTTTTAATGCGTCATGGATAATTTTCTTTTTACTACAGGGAATGAATGAAACTAGATTAACTTCAATCACAGTCAATCCTATAGCAGTGATTGAAACAGAGAAATACCTAGGTTGGATAAGAGATTTTTCCAGAATCGTTTGGCAATAACAGTCATCTCAAATATAAAAAAATACTGCAAGGTTGACATCAAAATTTCATCGGTTAAATTGCGAGATTCATTTGGCGTCAGATTTCAGATTGAAAAACTCACCAATAATTATTGTTCTCCACTATTCTCCAGAAAGACGATATTGCACAATTTTCACTGATAAAAGTCACACACTGCACTTCACACTTGAGTTCCTAGATAGAAACGAGTTACTCGCATCGCATCAAACTATCATCCGCACAAGAAATTGTAAACAGAAATAAAAAAGTTTTACTTTTTTAATAACGAACGCCCGAGGCATTCGCGATAACAAACATGTAACATTTTTTACCACCTCACGGAAATAATTTGAATCATTTCGAGCTGGTATGTTTTCTTTTGTTTTGATTGATCATTGACGTATCATGTTTATGTCATCTGATTCTGAAAAAATTATTAGTGAGGATATTGAAAATATTATATTATTTGGAAGAAAATATGTTTTCTCGTTGATGAGGTGAAGATAGATTTTATCGATTGTCAATGAAATGTTGAGATCTCTAGTACTTTTGAGCACATTTTTCGAAGCAATTTATTGTTAAAAATTCTGTCCAAGAATCAAGATTTCAACTCCAAACGGCCACTTTTTGACAAAGAATCTATTTAAATCTCCAGTTTCAATCTTGATTTTTGTACAGAATATTTTGCAACAAAAACCACCCACCAACCAGAACATGTTAAAATATCAAACAATGATATACCGGTCAGGCAGCTCTCACATATTTTTTGGTAGTTGACGGACCTTCTCTTGGCCCTTTATACCGCCTGTTTCGAATATACAGGGTGTATCTAAATAACACCGAAAAAATTCAAGGGGTGATACAAATGAAGTTCATGTTTATGTGTCCTAACTTTCTCCGTTTTTGAGACACAGGATGTTGAAGTTGGAAGTATTAATTGTTTTTATGCATAACCCCGCCTGTATAAGCTTTCATTGTGCCAAAATTCAGTATAAATAGAAACTGAAAAAGCCCCAAAATTTCAGAATGATTTTAATTGGGGTTATTGAGTAATCTCAATGGAAGTCTTGAAAACACCTACATTAAATTTTGGGGTCAAATCGAATTTTTATCGTTTCCTCAAAAATAAAGCTAGATACAAAAATCACAAAGGATAAAAAAGTTGTTATTTCAATAGTTCAATCTAATAAAATTGTGAAACTCGGTGGTATTCAATGATATTCACCATGTATATCGATAAATTTACCGACTGTGACGCCACTGCAAATATTATTCCCAACCTATATAATTGCACCAGAAGAAGCTCCATATCAATATTAACAAAACCACAACGTTTTATTGACATTGATGGACAGACAATTGAGTAATGAATGAAAAAACGATTTTCCATGGAAATATTAATACCCTGAATCCCCAAAAACGAAGCAAGTTAGGACACATGTTTATATGAACTTTATTTCCTGAAATATCACAAGAAATCGCCCCTTGAATTTTTTCGGTGTTATTTAGATACACCCTGTAGATAGTGGATCGAAATTTCACCTCCCAAACATCTAATTAGAATGTGGTTCTAAGAACGAGCGCATGCGCCTTTCAAAATCAACCAATCAACTTATTTTAACACTGGTTGCCGGGATTTAACCGATTTAACCTCCAACAATAATTTTATTAATAGTACATTATGTAACAAGTGTTATAAACGTCCTTTTAGTAACGAGTAGTTTAAGCACGAGCGGAGCAGAGCGGAGCGAGTGTTTAATAAAGGAGTGTCTAGAAGAGTTTATAAACGCGTAACATACTATGATTTTTCTACGAATTCCGAAAATTACATTAACATACCTGCAATTCCTGCTAACCTATAAGATAATTCGAAAGGAATGGGAATTGAGAACATAATACATGCAACTGCATGCAACCAGCGAGACACGTATAAGTGATATTTGGTTGTAGATGTGTCCAGTCCATTGCTTACTAACCTTTGTTTCACGTTTATTGTCATGCTCAGCGCAGAATAAATAAATTGTTCTCAAAGATGGATGCTTCATTTTCATACTTCTTGGAGATATGCAAGTACCAGAACATTCTCTTCGATTTCACTTTCGTCTACATTTCGCATATATTTTTAATGGAGAACTCTGATACAAACGAATATTGTTTGAATAATTCTGATACAAAATACGAAAATAACAGTTGACAGGCCAGACATGTCTCAAATTACAGAAGCTGTATTTAATGAACTGTGTTGCCATGGTAACGTGTTTAATATTTTGAATAAATCACAGATCCTCAATCCGTGATTAATCGATCATTTAGCGTGGTACATATCCGTACGCTATATGCCATTTTAGTTATGTGAGTAGAATAGTATATTATGTGACAAGTGTTATAAACGTCCTTTTAGTAACGAGTAGTTTAAGCACGAGCGGAGCGAGTGTTTAATAAACGAGTGTCTAGAAGAGTTTATAAACGCGTTACATACTATGATTTTTCTACGAACATCGATAATTACATTAACATACCTGCAATTCCTGCTAACCTACAAAATAATTCGGACGGAATGGAAATGGAGAACATAATAGGTACTTGCAACTGCATGCAACCAGCGAGACACGTTTAAGTGATATTGGTTGTAGATGTGTCCAGTCCATTGCTTACTAACCTTTGTTTCACGTTTATTGTCATGCTTAGCGCAGAATAAATAAATTGTTCTCAAAGATGACTGCTTCATTTTTACACTTCTTGGGGATATGCATAAGTACCAGAACATTCTCTTCGATTTCACTTTCGTCTACTTTTCGCATATATTTTTAATGAAGAATTCTGATAAAAACGAATATTGTTTGAATAATTCTGATACAAAATTTAAAAATGACAGTTGACAGTTAATACAATTGACAGGCAGACATGTCTCAAATTGCTGAAGCTGTGTTTAATGAACTGCGTTGCCATGGTAATGTGTTTAAGAAATCGTGTTGCCATGGTAACGTGTTTAATATTTTGAATAAATCACAGATCGACAATCCGTGATTAATCGATCATTTAGCGAGGTAAATATCCGTACGCTAAATGCCATTTTAGTTATGTGAGTAGAAAAAAAATATTATTTCGTATTCCATTGGGAATGCACCAGTTCACATTTTGAAGAGAACTAGTGCGGATGCAAAACTGGTGCGAAACCAGTGTACCACCAGGTTTTCGAATTGAATTCGCTATCAGTTCGAGCCGTGTTATGCGAAAACGACCGACGATGCATTCAAATCTCCATCAGATCTGAATTGGCGGTGCTCAAATTTATAGCTACAACAATGCATCAAAAACGTTTATTGTATAAAATGTGAAAGAACTCATGAACATATCTGAATCTAATTATTGTTGGAATGGGTTTTCGCATGACATTCAATGCACATAGAAGGCATCTCTTTGTAGCCTTCTCAATGCCTCCGCACTCTCTTCACCTCATTTGTAGCCCCCTTTCTTGTACATATTGTTTTACAATTTAAACAATTTTTCTATTTCTCAGTGTTTTATCCTTTTGCTGTTATATCCAAATGTTCCAACCCCTTGATCGATAAATTGATAACTAATAGGAGTATCATGCACTTTTACTTATATACATTGAAAAAAATTGCCTTGTCAGGCCGCGTCGGTCTGTATACCAGAACGACTTTACAATGTCTGAGCAGCAATATGCTGATCACTCAGATGCCCCCTACTCTGAAAACTTCGCGTGGCCTGAAGCGTTCGAACGAATGAAAATGCATCGGCTCAGCACGAGATCAAGCTGTCGCTCAAAAATGACTGACATGGCAGTCAGAGTGTTGATCAATATTAACAATTTGTCGTTTCAGGTGGATTGGGTTTTGCAGTGGGACCCGCCAGCTTCGGCTAGTGCTTTTGTACACAGAGTTGGTAGGACTGCTAGACAAGGACAGCAAGGTTCCTCGCTCCTTCTTTTATTAGAAAACGAAGAAGCCTATGTGCCCTTCATAAAAAACAATCAACGTGTAGAACTTAATCCCTTGGAAGATGGCAGCACAAATGAAAAGGTTGGATAGGTATTTCATAGTTTTGTTGCCGATGTTCTATTTTTGATATTTCAGATTGACGAACTGAGAGAATATATTAGGAATATCCATAGATCAGACAGGGCTATTATGGAAAAAGCCACACAGGCCTTTGTATCTCATGTGAGGGCATATTCAAAGCATGCATGCTCATTGTTATTTAAAATTAAAGTAAGTGGTGATGATGATGAAGATACTGAATTGATTTTTATATGAGTTGCTTTAGCCAACTTACGTTGTATGTTCCCAATACTTAGTTGAAACACTACATAAACCTTTTCAGGAATTACCATTGGGTGCTGTGGGTGCAACATACGGTCTTTTGAAATTACCAAAAATGCCTGAACTGAAGAATAGAGATTTGAGTGACTTTCCAGAAATTCCTGATCTAGATTTAAATACTATTCCATACAAGGACAAAACTAGAGAAAAAATACGAATACAGAAACTAGGTCAATATAAAATTACAGGTAAATCATATAATTCAGGATGTTATTGAAAGATCAGAAAAACAATATTTTAATCATATTTTCCAATACAGGTTCGTGGCCAGGCCACAAACACAAATTCATCAAGAAAGACACAGAGTCTTGGTCAATATCCAAACAGAAGAAGGATGACAGAAAAGAGAAAAGGGGTAAGAGGAAACAAAGTAAACAAGCCAAATTAGCCAGTGGAGAGCCCATTAAGAAGAAAAAGAGAAAAGGTATTATTTGTATTGCAGATATCTGTTACTTTTGATATGGACTCCATGAAATTGTAGATCCACTTGTAGGATTAAAAGTTTCAAAAAATATTTATAGCTAATAAATCTAACTCTATCTACTCAGGTAATAAATAGTCTCATAATTGAAACGGTTTTTGGTTGAGATAATAATGACTCATAATACTTTTAGTAACATTATTAATAGAGGTTAATTGAGTTTTAATGACCAATAATCTAGGAATCCATAAAAAAAATTGTTGTTCTAAAATTGTTCTATCCGTCATTCGGTTGCCCCCTTACGAGCAACCCTCAGAAGTCTTCCAAAGTCTTGTGCGAGCAAGGAATGACGGGGGCCTTACCTTTTAACGTGTGATCCCAAACACTAACATAGAACATAATGAACAACTATTAAGTCTCTACAAACATTTATGAACACCTTGTATATTTCAATATGGTTGATAGGGCTCTGAGATATTGTAGGTCCACTATGGTATGTATGAAAAGTATGTCATAACATTTCAATCATCATGAAGTATGGTGTTCATATTCAGAGTACTCTTCATAACAATATTGCTTACGTCACTGGCGCGATTTTAGTATATTCGTCAATTATTACTTCGACTTTCCTGATAAACTTTGATATTTGGTTGGTTTGTGAGATTTGATAAAATTCAATTTGATGTAGAGATGAGTTTACGCCCGGCATTTTCAATAAATGCGACCTGGCCTTTCTGAGCTCATTGAATTTGATTTTTTTCATGATGAAAGTGGATGGGAAATGCAGATGCTTTCTTTCCATACCAAATACATGATACAAATAAAATTCCTGGGTTAATTGTCGGTGATACTAATATTTCCTACAATTTATTCCATTTCTTAATTCATTTCATCAAAACTGCCGTTTAGAAACGCATTATGTTCCACGATTCTTACTTCTGACGCGTCATTTTCATAATCATCTGTAAAAAGTGATGATCAAAATATCTATTGGCGGATTTGAACTATTTCAAGGTCATCATCTGACGTTGCGATGACGTTTAGCAAAGAAACATTCCTAATTCCGGACATAGATTGAAAGTTTTCCCTATTGCTGCATGTCATCTCAGCGTCATCTGATGACCTTGAAATCCAATATGATTATTGAAGATTTATTCATGCTAATCACCCTTGTCAAGTTTACTTAGGCAGATAGTAACAACAACAATATGCTTTCTGTTGTTATAAGGTTATTTTTTTAAGCGGTATATTTGAAATTTCTCGAAAGCATACAAAGCGACTTTGGCACTTTTCTGGCGTTTGTCCAACACATTTCAGGATCCTAACCCAACTTTTACGTGAGATATGGGGGTGTTTCCATGAAAAGTGAGACAAAAATGAATTTTTCAGAACTGAAAATTTTCTCAGGAAAAATATGAATAGTTGGTGAATTGGGCGTCCTGATTCCGAATCCGAAGTCATTTTCAACCTATTTCGACACCTGATATCATTCTCTAGAAATTGGGGTGGTTCCATGGCTGTTGGCGAGCAGTGTATATCACTGAAGATGACCCCACTTAGTCATAGAGTGCATTTTTGGTATAACTTTCGCTCCAGCAAATTTCAGAATGCTCACCCAACGAATACGTAAGATACAAGGGTGTTTCCATTAGAAGTGAAACACACTGTAGATACTTCCACGGGCAGTGTTCCTCAGAAATCTCTGCTATAATTCCATCACTAGCAATACCAGTCAGGCCCAGTCAGCACATCCTTTCATTGTCAACCTTGAAATATGTTGTACAACACTTTACCAATACTCGTTTTGTCTATACAGGGTGTTTAAAAAACCATTTCAAAATAAGTTGGGTTTGCTCAGTAAAAAAATGTCGTAACGCCATTTGTTTTCAAGATACAAGGTGTTGAAAAAATATTTTTTTACACATTTTTTACGATTATGTTGAAACTACTGACAACATTGTAATGACATTTTGTATGGATGTGTTTTGAAAGCTGAAACATCGCATGAATTTGTTTTTATATCTGACACTCATTGAGGGCGCTAGTTACACGGTTCGTACCGAGTACTTTTGAACATAACTTTTTTGAGGTTAGATTTTTCACTTCAAATTCAATGTGAACTCAAACATCATTCAATTTTACACTAAAAAGGTGCTCTTGGTAAAACTTGATACTGTATACCGTTTTCGGGATATTTCGATTTGAAAATGCTAAAGTATAACTCTGATGCTAGTTGAAATTAAGTATTATGATAGACTGTTACGTATTTATTGATAACCACGTCGAGAGATGCAAGAAAGAACTGAACATTACTTCGATGATCTCATAGCTGATCCTCAACCGTTGAGAAGATTGATGATGAGAAAAATGGATCAAATTGTGTATTCGAGAAAAAGGAGGACATTTTGGACACTTACTCTAACTAGATGATGTTTTGAGATTTAATTATTTAATTAAATAATTTCTGATGTAATTTTGTTTAATCGATAACTTCAGCAGTGAAATAATGTTAATGTTTTTTGTCCTTGATAAAAAGATAATCGTTTTTAATAATACTTATTCTAATACCAGAATCAAAGTTATTGCTTCAGCATTTTCAAACCGAAATATTTCAAAAACGGTACACAGTATCGAGTTTTACAAAGAGCATCATTTTGGTGTAAAAATGAATGGTGTTCAAGTTCACATTGAATTTGGACTGAAAAATCTAACCTCGAAAAAGTTATGTTCAAAAGTACTCGGTACGAACCGTGTAACTAGCGCCCTCTATGAGTGTCAGATATAAAAACAAATTCATGCGGTGCGTCAGCTTTCAAAACACATCCATACAAAATGCCATCACAATGTTGCCAGTAGTTTCGACATGATCGTAAAAAATGTGTGAAAAAAATATTTTTTCAACACCTTGTAGCTTGAAAACGGGCGCCGTTACGACATTTTTTCATAGAGCAAACCCAACTTATTTTGCAATGTTCCACCTACCCTAGCAAGGGAGTTAGATTTTTTTGAAACACCCTGTAGAACGGCAAAGCTTTGGAATTCTTTGCCAATGGAAGTATTCACAAGAACTTACAACCTCCGAAAGTCAACCCAAAATATGCGAATAATGACATTCCAGAAATAACACCTGAACTGGACAAACAAAATTTGCAAATTCAATAAGCTTGTCTTTTGTCAGCTATGCAGTGACGACACTTTCAAGTCATATGACGTCATTGTCGGTGGTATATCGAGTAAAAATCTTTTTCTACAAGCGTGCGTGATTCACCCTATACCCGCACGCAATTTAGTTTGGGAAGTGTCATTTTCCCGCAACAGTACGGGAAAATTTTCCCACACTAGTGCGGGAAATTTTTTCCCGCACTAGTGCGGGAAAACAAAGATATGATATAATCGCTAGTAATATAAGTGGTTGGTGATGGAATATAAAAGTTTAAGATTGTTTGTTGCAGTATTAAGTATGTATGTTTAGAATCATCCATCAAATTGCACTATTTATTGTAAAAATTAAGAAATATTGAGAAATAAAAATGGATTATTATAAAAATCCCCCTATAGATTTGGATTGATCTGACGGGAAACGTCAATTTGTCATGCCAATCAAACCTCAAATAAGTTTGAAATTGTCGAAGTGACAGACACAGCGTTACTGTCATTTTCGATTCAGTGGAAATGCCACAATGTGATCAAAAACTTCTAGCTATAGCAGGCTATAGGGATTCGATACAGATGCGTTATTACCAACAAAGTCTCGAGAAAGGTATGAGAAGCTATACACGCGTTTAATTGAATGGTGCAACAATAAAGAAATGAAAAAAACCGAATGAAGAATAGGTATTTTTGGCTCATTCCATAGAAGTGTCTGGAACCTAGAGACCAAACTCCTAATGGGCCTGCTGGCTTCCGCAATGAACCAACATAATGTTGTCAAACACTTGCCTTGTTACTCCTTCCATGAAGATGTAATTTGATGTTTTTTGCTGAAATGATTCAACCAAATCAATAAATTTTTCACGGAATTCATGACGACTCTTGATAAAATGAAACCATAAGTCTTTACTTACACCAAACAAGATGAAATAGGTATTATAATATTATGTTATATTTGTATAGGGAAGTCTGATATTAAATTTGGCAATAAATACAAAAAATATCCAAAGAACTGTTAACGTTTTTGTTGATATCTCTTATCCATAATGATAATGTTGAATTATTATATTTTTATAGGTATGACAGATGAAGATCTTGCAGAGCTTAAGAAAGATGTGGCTTTATTGAAAAAATTCAAGAAAAAGAAGATAACATCAGAAGATTATGAAAAAGAAATGGGTTTGATTTGATACAAGTGTAAATATATTTCACGTTATTTTATAAAATATCAGACAATAAATTGTTAAAAAATTAAGAATATACACACATTTTAATACAAAAGTTAGTTTTATAATCAATATTCAGGAAGAATCAATAAAAACGTTATTATTCAACGTTAAATTCTAATAGGGATTCATAATTGATATATTACTCTAACTGTCCTATAACGATAAAATTTATTAATGATTACTGCTGTGTATTACCCCACATCCTTAGGGCTGTAAAGGCGGAATTAAATTTCTCACACCACTCTATTCGCTCTTCTTTTGTATCTGCAGATAATAAATGTCTGAAAAATCAAATGAAATTAGGAGAAAATAAACAACAAACGCTAAAATTCTAACATTTCACTAAACGACCAACTAGACCTCAATAATACATCACTGTTCAATGTTTTTTTTTTTCACCACTAGCTATAGAACCTTCCATTATGTACTCCTTTTCAAGATGTGAAGTGTGCGTTTTCTCTACCAAGGTAGCTTTCGTTATTTCATGAATTACTACACCTTTTCCAGAGAATAGTCAATTGAACTTCAGAAAGCATCAGTTGTATTTCAGAATAGTAATTTGTATTTCAGAAAGCGTCAACAATTGTATTTCAGAATAGTCATTTGTATTTCAGATAGCCTCAACTGTATTTCAGAACAGTCATTCGTATTTCAGAAAGCGTCAATAATTGTATATCAGAATAGTCATTTTTATTTCAGAAAGCGTCAATTGTATTTCAGAATAGTCATTTGACTTTCAGAAAGCTTCAATTGTATTTCAGAATAGTCATTTGACTTTCAGGAAGCTCCGATTGTATTTCAGAATAGTCAATTGAACTTCAGAAAGCGTCAATTGTATTTCAGAATAGTCATTAGACTTTCAGAAAGCTTCAATTGTATTTCAGAATGGTCACTTGTACTTCAGAAAGCGTCTATTGTATTTCAGAAAAATGTTTTGGCTCATTGAATTTTAAAAATAATCAACTGTAACATCCAACTTCGAATTTATAAGCGATTATTTCCAGAAAAGTGTAACACTTTGTATGATAGTATACACGTCTGGCAAGAATAAGTTTCTTATAGAGAAAGCAAATGAGGAAATGAATATGATTCATGGGTTTTTAACAAATAGAGGAAAAAAGCGTCGTTGCCCCATCGACTTGAGTATGGCAACATCGCTTTTTTTTTTCTCTTCGTCTAAATGCCCATGAATCTAATTCGTATTTACTTTATCACACTGCTTCTTTAAAGGATAATTATTCTTGCCAGACGTGTATATGGCTAAATATGTTCAAAATCACAATACCTACCACCTCTTTTCAGTTATACGTCGGTGCACCAAATACCCCCTATATAGAAAAAAAAGTTTATGATTTTGATGCAGAATACCAAACTGTCAAGAGTGTAAAGCAATTCAAAAACGATCCTAATCATAATTTACCTTATGATAGTTGTATTCCCTTGGCAGATAGTAACTAAACTATCTTTATCTTGGGGACGGGCCAATCTTTCTCTTTCTATCAAAAAAGTATGTAGCCTGGCACATATTTCCCTGCTCACAGGTTCAACTTGTTTAGTCACGCAACTTTTCAAGTTGATTGAATCGATAGGAGCCTAAAAAAGCGTCAATTTCGAAATTCACAATCATGATAAACGTTTGGGGATCTTGTTCAAAAAATTATTTCAGTAAAATATCTGCACTTTATAAGAAATCACTGAAAGTATTGTATCGCGTCTCATTTGATATCCCAACAAATGATCTGTATGCGATAACAAAACAATTTTCATTGGATGAATTGTTAAAATAGATTCTCTTAAAGTTTCATATAATATCATAAACAATAATCTGAAATCCAATTTTGTTTTAATAAGAAACTCAGAAATTCATGGTCATCACACGAGACATTTAAACTTATTTCAGCTTGATTCTGCTACTTCTATAATTGACCAAAAAATTCACTCATGTTGCTATAGCTGAATTCAATAAATTACCACATAATATAAAAAAATGCAGACATATTTCAAAATTTAAAAATGAATTACTAAAACACATGATTTTATTACGAAATGGATAAAATTGATACTTTGCCATCTACTGATTAGTCCCTGTTGCTATTTTTATGACTTGATCAGAATTCTGAATCGTGAACCACTCTGTATCTGTTCCGATTAAATCTCAGTAAATAGTGAATCATAAGTTGAGATAGGGACATGTGCGCCGTTTCGACTGATAATGAATAGTTTCGACACAAAAAAATCCTGAAGTTGAAAAATCTCGATTTTGAACACCCTATATTTCTATAATCATTTTCGATAGACCCCAAGTGTGACATATCGATGAAATCAGCTCTTCAGGGTGAATCTAAAAATGCAATAAAATACAAGATGTTCTATTTGGAATATCACTGTTACTAGTACTTTCTAGAAGAAGCGGCAACACTGCATTGTCAAAAATATTTTAAATGAGCGTTTTCTAAAATATATAAGCATACACATTTTCAAGAAGTTTCGGGCCTTACTAGCTTTTATGGACCTAGGCGTGTTGATACTTACAAGCTGAGGTCCATAAATGCCTATTTTACGCCCTTGATACATATATAACTATTATGCACGACAGGGTGTACAGTGGCACTCCATCGCCTGGATTATCGAGCGTAAAGTAGTACTTCAGCGCCCTAGGGCGATGAAGAAGTACAGCGGGCGGTTAAGTAGTCCGGCGGACGGTAAAGTAATTCCACTGTTTTTTCCAGTATCTTTTTTCACCAGTGGCATACATAATTTGGCCAAATGTATTCAAAATCATTGATGAATACTATATTGTCAGTAAATAAATGTTTAAAACGTTCGTGCATTAAATATAACTTGCTTTTATGGCCCTAGGGCGTGTTAATAGCCCTCGCTGTCGCTTGATTTATTACACGCTGCGGTCCAGAAAAATCCACTTTAGACCTTTGAAACATTAATAAATATTATTGCTGTCTAAAAAAACAATGAAACCCTTTATTTATATTGCACAAAACTAAAACACTTGCCCCGTGGACACGTCACTGGAATTAGTGATCCAAAATAGAGTTTTCAAGAAACTGTGAAAATTCATTCGAATCGGCCAAATTGTTTATTGAACATCAACAAAAATTCAATAACGAACCATTTTCGGACACATGTATATGGGAATTTTTTTTCTTGTGTTCTGAACAAGGTTATCTGTCACTTATATACCAGGAACACCCTGTATACAAATAATATATATCGAAGACTGGAAAGTTTAGCACGATAATACACTACAATGTTTTTTTTTAAAACAAACCGTTTTAATCTACATAGTGAGCGAAACCCATGTCGAGGCGTACAAAAAATCGGTTTGGTTAGTGGTGAAACTAGTGTTGTGAAATAATATTATCTCTAGTTACCATCTTCTTTTCATCATCCGGATATTTCCAATAACTCAAAGTATGTCCTTTGAGTAAACACCATCTGCGATGCCACGCTCCGAATCCTGACACGTCTTCGAACATTGTCAAAAACCCGCGATGTTCGACAGACACCGCTAACTCACAGCATATTCTCATCTCTACGCTGCCCTCTAGCGGACTCATCGAAGGAGTCTGCAAAAACAATGCGGACCTCAGTCAAAATAACAATAGATGCGACATCGCATCCATTCATTATTCATTGAAAAGTATCCTGAATGCCAAACACGGTTAAATGAATGAAATGGCGAATGGTGGGGATAATTCAGCACTGTTTCAGTGAAAAATTTCATTTCATTATTTTGAAGTACTAACCCTAACTAGTCCACTGTCGTTAACCGTGTTTTCCTCAGAGCTTTGACTTACGTATCCATTCTCCATTTTTGTAAGACAAGTGCATGATTGTCATTTTCATCAAAATATTGAATGAATTTTCTGGACTGAATACTTACTGCAGATAACAGAGAACACAATGCACAACTGAAGAATCAGATAATGTAATGGTTATCTTTGAATATTCGCAGTATTTGCTAGATTTGTCCCTGGATTTCACTGGATTACTAGATGATTTAGGTTTCGAAGATGAAGGTGACAGACAAGGATGACGTTAGGAAGTTAGGTTAGAATTCTTTTCTTTTCTCGAAATACTCTGTGCATCGCTTCGCGGATGACCTCACTCTGTGACAAATATTCTTGGCGGCGCTCAGTGAGAGATATCTTTATATGTAATTGGCAAGAGTCGCTCAGTTTCATTTGAAACTAAGTACACATGAAATATCAGATGTTGAAAACAAATTAATGTTTTTAAAGTTCCTGAAATAGTAGTAATGAACCTTAGTTACTAACAAGTGAGGTCAACTCCGATAGTAAGAATATAGTTCGTCATGTTTGACTGAACTCATCGGAAATATGTTTTTTAAAGTTTTATTTGAATTTAGAATTATGAGGATTATAGATAACAAATTTGTTATTTAATGTTTCTCGCATATTAGTAATGAAAACTAGTTATACCAAAGTGTCAAATTTTATTTGACATCCACGCAGAATGGGTCGTAGGGTTCATCTTCTCATTAAGTATATTAAAAGCAACTTCAATTCATAAAATTTTCTTTCCGAATCTCCCACACGGCAGAATTACTTTTCGATAATTCGGCGCTAGAGGGATTATAAGTGACAATCAAGTTCCTATTTACAATAATCCGCCATAATGATGTATGTTGCGGAGTGCGCATGTACTAGTTTTACTATTTCGTGAGTATCGGTTGCGTGCGCGGTTTTGTAGGGGGTTGGCGATTTTGGGAAGAAAATGTAAGTAGGCCGAAAGAGTGGGCAGTGATAGAGGACACAGGGTAGTCCTTCATCCCATGATATTTTTAATACTGGCAAGTAAGTCTTGGGAAAGTCAATTTTGTAACAAATAGTTTTGCCTTGACTGAGCATTTTCACCCACAACATAAAACCATGACTTCTCTACTGAGTCAGCCGAAGATCATCAGTATAAAAGTTATAAAGATCGGAAATGTCCTTGTATAATTCATATGATAAATGAATATTAGACAGATTCTTGCCTCGTCTGACAGATATAGAGCATGGTTGTATATGGCTGCATTGCATTGGTCACGATGGGTGTCGTTAAGTGTTTCCCCTCGTTTTTCATGTTATGAAATATTGTGAATTTCAATAATTATTTAGAAAATGTACATGGCTCAAAGGGAAAAAACAGTTTGGAACAGTGGGCTAGTTAGGGTCAGAACTTGGATGTAATGAAATATATTTTTTACTGAAACAGGCCCCGAACTAGAAATTAGAGTATGGAGTAACCATTTAATTTCCTTAAATTCTAGGCTATGTTGTTTATGACTATCACTACATTATTTCAGAAATGTGATGTGCTCACTCCTAGCAATTGAAAAATACCATGAACTGAACATGAAAGATTACCGGAACATACTTGTGAAAAGTAACTTACGTTGTTGAGACTCCAAACCCGCTTGTTCACTGCTTGTACTGAAAATACAACGTATCCCATTACAGCAAATGAGGACGTTCTGACGGCTTGTGGACCGCCAGGTGATTCTTTGATTGGCATTATCATCCTGGAATCCTGCTTTGATTTTTTGGGGGTTACTAACTTGCTCCCAGACTATAAAAAAAAGTACGTTTCAAGTTGAAAGTCGGTCTTCATTTGTAATATTCCAAAATAAATGGGGGTGATGTAATAAGTCAACGATCTTATTATGGCGACTATTATTGTAAATCATCCAATTGAACAATAGACCTGATGTGCAAAATGAATATTAAATTTTGTCTTATGACTCAAATACTTCAAAGCTTTACTACTGTAACGAATCAAATCGAATTGTTGATGTAATGTCATCAAATTCACTCTGTCTTAGCAATAATGTTTGTCACATCAAAGTTTGGTTGCGAATAATGAAATGGAAATACCTTATCGGAATATTGCACAATAGTTCCTTTAGGCGTATATTTCTACCAATGAGCTCCAATAATTTCATTATAGGAAACTACTAGATCGTTTCAAAATATAATAATTTTTGGAATGTACAATTGAGTTTTCACCATTTTATTGGGAATGTAGCCCTTGTCAATCATGACCGTAACAAGTTCAGCGACAATTGTGGTTTAATGAAAATAAAAATGTCAACACATCTCATTGTAAATTGCTGTAGAATTTTGTATCAGCAGATGAAATAGAATTGACATTGAAGGTTTCAAACGCAACCTTTTTTTTGTATGACGACTTCAAATACCTTGTTTTTATAACTCGCATTATTACCAAGTGCATGAGAATTTACAGTAAGACCCTATAAACCCTCTTAACGCTGGACCACTTAGAGTTCCACATACGATCTTGACACACTCAAATGTCTTTCTCCCTAATAATTGTTCGCATTCTCAGATATATCCCCCTCTAGAGATGAAATCGACAAAACTTCAAGTGGATAAGTTGGTTATAAAGAATGTAAGGCCACAGCTTACCCACTATTCAACTCTAAAACTATCATGGTGGGTACGATTTGCGCCGATCTACTGCTGTGACGTGCAGACGGGTAACAGGCATATTATTATTCGTTTAACACCACACAATAGTACATTATACATCAAGGGACAGAAATGCAAGATTTTTTCCAAGGTGCGATTTGTAGCTCGAGGGCGAAGATTCAAATGATATTCCAAGAACACTTTGAAAGATACGCGAAAATTAATATTTGTAGTGCACTTTTTGATTTGACTAATGCATTACCTTTCAGTCACTCTTGTAGGTATTTCCCGAAAGAATTTATGCAAAGATTACAATCCAGTAACCTTGTCATCAAAAAGGGGTCCACCTTACATGGTTTGGGGTAGTAGGTTTAATTTTTTTTATATTGTTTGGGATAGTACAGAGATGCCATATCCCATTTGTCGACCTCGACGACCTTCCGGATCACCGCCATATAACGTTTAAACGGCTACAAGTTTGTACTTTTTCTGATTTCGCCATTTTTGACCCAGAAGGAGTACTTTTTCACTATTAATTTTTAAGCTACATAAAATTTCCTAAATACTGAGCTAAATATGATTACTGTAGGCCTAATAGTTTACGAGATACAGCTTTTCAAAGTTGGTCACAAAAGGGTGTCTCATTTAATGAGAAACAAAGACACAAACATAATGGTTACAAGAAATAATAAAGAAAGTAGGTATAATATTATTTTGTATTATTTCACATTAAGTACATTTCAGTTTTGTTGGAGAGGCCATGTTCTGTTAGAACCCTTCCCCTCTCAAGTGATGTCTATACCCATCCATCTCTGCACTTGGTGATAAGTCCGAAGTGAGTGGTAGCGAGCAGTGTCTTGAGTTGGAGGGAGTCTGACAAGGTTAAAATTGAAAAAAAAATGAAACGACTTACCTTTTTGTTGTTTATGTGATATTTAACTTCGTGTGGAAGAAACTCTTCTTGAGCCTGTAAGCAATACACTTCAAAGGTGACAGTGAAATCGCTGTATATATCCTTCAGAATGACCGTTCCTGGTATCCTTAATTCGGTATCTGGATTTTTCGCGTTGTGTATCACAGTCGATACCAGTTTCGTTGGTACAACTTGTTCCCCACATTTGATGAGGCACACAACATGGTGGCCTTTACCACCTGCTGAAAAATAACAACTTGATAATTTAATAAGATTTATCATGGTCCAATCAATATTATTCAATTACTAAGATAATGTTCTTCATTTTAATGGATTGAGAAAATTACCAGCCGCTAGAGCTTTCACATATTTATGTTTCAGAGGCAGAATGATATTCGAAATAGTCAGGGTTCCTTTTTCAAGCGGCAAATCCTTAGCGTGTTGACCCTGTGGTCTTATTGTTCCTTCAACTTTGAGCCTCTGGATTTCGTGAAGGGCTGCTTGTCTCCTGTGAGCTAAAATAGAAGAAAGGCCGTACATAGAATAGAATAGAATTTATTTAACCACGTTATGCATAAATACATTTGTAGGTAATCAAAAGTGTGGTACAGATAATTGGGCGTACCTATTATACTAAATAATAAACAAAATAAGTGTAAATCAGTAGATCTAATAAAAAATATGAATAAAAGTTAGTTAGTAGGACAAATAATCATTATAAATAAAAGTTAAGAAACTCCAGTGGATCAATAAAATGCAGGAAATTAAAATGACATAACACTACACTATATAGAGTAAAGACGAACTATCTGTAAAGATTCAGGTACCTAAATGAATGGAGTCTCCATATATTCTTGAGTTGAGTAAAAGAATGTTCCAATAAGAAGCTTCTTGAATGTGTTTTTATAACTGTAGCTATTCAAGTGTTTAATGTGGATGGAAGTTTGTTATATATAATAACGTCCAAAGTGTTGCGTGTAGATGTTGTTAGCATAAGCCTTGGAGGTCTAAGGTGTCCTGCATTTCTTGTTAGGTAGTTGTGGATGCTTGCATGGGTCTCATATGTGTCGATATCTTTGCGGAAATGTGTTAAGGTGTTTAATATGAATAGTGATTTGCACATGAAACGTGTGACTGAAATAGGCTGTGATAAGACATGAGTAATACTTCCATGCTCAACACTTTTTTCATCTGACGAAGTAAATAGAGCTGGGTAGTTTTTTGCAAAGCTGATCTTACATGATCAGACCATCATCAAAAACAATGCCTAGTAGTTTGGTATGTTGATTAGATGTCAGATTATTGTTTGTTGAGATCAGAATTTTTTGCGTTTTGTTTTTGTCAAGTTTCAGCATGTTCGCGGAAAACCACTCTTATGCTTTCTCTTCAACTCTGTTGTAAGTTTGCATGAGTTCTACAGCACAAGTCCCAGCCCGCAACATCGTTGTGTCGTCTGCATAACATACACAGTTGTTAGGCAATAAGTGGGTAAAAATGTCGTTGATGTAAATTACAAATAGAATAGGACCGAGAATACAGCCCTGAGGAACTCCGTGTTTTATATGCCCAACATCAGAGCATGAATTATCTATACAGACGGATTGCTTCCTATTGGTTAAGTAAGACTTGAGAAGGTCCGATACTGAACCATGAATCCCGTAGAAATTGAGCTTCTCTATCAGTAAATCGTGGTTAACACAATCAAAAGCCTCACTCAGGTCCCACATTGTGACAGCAGTATGTTCGCCTCTCTCGAGATTCTCAACAATTTTACGGACTACCTCCACAACGATTGCTGAGAAACCCGTACTGGTGGTCATTTATGATAGTGTTTTTGAAAAAAAAAAATAGTTAGGCGGTCTTTAAAAATGATTTCTATAATTTTACCCAAGATGCAAGGTGGGAATTATGGAGATAGGTCTATAGTGGTCTGGCAGTGTATTATCACCTTTTTTATGGATTGGAATGACTTTGTTCACTTTGAATATATCAGGAAAGTGTCCTTCACTTAGGCAGCGATTAATGAGCGCTGTTAGTGGTTCAGTCTAGTATTCTGTTGTTTCTTTCATGATTTTGCTGTTCAAGTGATAAGATATCTGGACAACTTGAATTAACGTTATTTACTGATTGTAAATTCAGTGTGAGATCAAAATGAGGTTGCACTTTGCTTCTGGTAAATAGGATTTTGTGACACTTATTAAGATTCAGTTTCAACTTCTTTAGTTCACAATATTTGAAGAAATTTTCAAGGTCAGTTTGGAGCATATTATAGTCTTCTATGTTGGTAATGGCTTTATAGACCTTAAGGTCATCTGCGTATAGCTGTATATCCGTGTTTCCAAAGCATTCATGAATGTCATTTATAAATATATTGAACAAGAGAGGACCAAGATGTGACCCTTGCGGAACACCAGAAGTGACTGACAATGATGAAGATCTAGAATTATTTACAGCGACATATTGCTTACGATTTTCGATATGGACGCGAGTAATTTCAATAAATTTCCATGCACACCGAAATTACGAAGCATAACAAGAAGTGTAGGATGATGTACCTTGTCGAAAGCTTTCGAGAAGTCGGTGTACACAACGCATGTTGTTGTACGTATGGTATTAAATTAGTGAGCGTTGATCTTTTTTTGTGAAAACCATGTTGCCACATATTTATAACATGTTTCAATTGGAAGAATAAGTTTTTAGACAAGATTGATCAAAATTTTTTTTCCAAAATGAGAGAGTATTGATATTGGCCTGAAATTGGCAACATATGTATTTTTTTGTATTTGTAATAAACTCATGGTGATGCGACTTTTTCTTTCGCTAGTTGATTTCATTATTTAAATAGGACGTGACACAATGAAATTTAATGAGATAAACAATTGATAAATAGATGGATGAATGGTGAGAATAAATTTCTTACTTGCAACTAGCAATACCCTCTCGGCCTCCACTTGTTCAGTGGATCCGGAAAACTCCGGAGTGCAACTGCAAAGATTGAGGGCTTGACTAGTTTGCGATATGATGTTCTGTTGTTTGCTGACCTCGCCCTTCAAATCGTCCATCTTCTTCGTGACCAAAATATCTTCGTCGTTCGGCTCTTCTGCGGATTCTTCGATTTGGGGCTGTCTCGAAATTTGCCGGACAGGCGTTTGGGCCTGAACACAACATGTCATTCGAGTTGGGAATATTATCGAGTACCTACCTACAGTTAGAGTACCTATACTACATTTCATATGAAGATATTAGGAAGAATTGTCACAGTCAAATTCATGACCTTTCTAATGATTGGGTTCCACTTACTAGAGTCACAGAAATGAAAACTGCTAGTGTTTTTTTTTAATGTTTAGATTTATTAAGTTACACACCTTGCATTGTAGCAACAGCATCATAGGCTATATTTCGAATTCAACTGACAGTACTGAATCTGCTGATTTTTCATTCCGAAATCAAAAAAATTACTGAAAATGACAGATTCTTGTGAGCAGACATGCTATCCATTCCAAATATTTCGATCCAAAATTCTGCTGAGCATCAGAAGGTAGTGTGGCTTCAGTGAACTGTCATTATTTTAAAGAGGGAAGGAATGTAACATTTATTTCCGTTGTTAATATTAATAGAGAGTTGAAGTGTTGTCATGAACGTTAACGTAAACGTAGAAATTGACAGCTACGCATGCGCATTTTCCAATTCTTCACGTTTGCGTTGTTAGTGGGCTTACGGGTGTACGTTATTTCACGTTCCTTCACGTATACCTTAAATATCAACGTACGTTAACCAAACTATACTCGAAATATGCCGATGAGTCAAAATTATCAAATTCGAGATCACCAACGAGTTCTGCATCAAGGAGTCCTCTAATTTTGACAGGAATAAATGTTCGAATCTAAACACACAACCAAAAATGACCAATACAAACCGAAAACAAAATGTATTATTACGTTATGATGACAGTGACGACCAAAGTGGCGACTTCAACTCAATTTAACGACAATACGTAAACGTTATTTTTCGTACGTTAACGTCGACGTGGAGGTCTACGTACAGTGATTACTTCAACTCTCTATTTTCAATATCAGAAAATACCTGTCATAGAAATAATGAACGCTGAGAATAATATGCAGTATGAAATAGTAGAGGTAACGAAAGAAGAAGCAGCATTGGCTAAATGAATAACTAAATACACCTGAAATGTCTCCTACCTCCATCATAATTAATGCCATATTTCGTTTCCCATGAATCTATGAAAAATGAATGGCAACAAAATGACCAGGTATTCTTCATCACTCGAGCTTGAATCGTCATCGTCAACAATCGTAGAAACTAGAGGCTACAAGAATCGATTGCTCTTCCATGTTAAATATTAAATTTCCAAAATTTAAATCAAGCAGGAGGCTGACTATCTAGTTCAGATAGACGAGAAACTACAGACTGAGAAATTTCACCAGCTGATCAACTGCTGCTGATCACTGATGAAAACCATAAAAACGTGTACCGAATTACAGCACTGTATTTATGATTTTAAATTTCGGAACACAGATTTTCAGCAGAGTCAGTGGATCTACTGACAGTACTGACCAGTTGAATTCTGGATATAGCCATAGTCGTTCCGCGCTGTTTCATTCAAAATTGTTTGAATTTGACAATGAACTTTATGAACGTCAGAATTGAAATATAATTTCATAAACTATTGAGAAAAAAGCATGAATGAAAATGTCCTGCTGTGTAATGAATCGCGGGAATTCTAAATGAAGTGGCCATTTCATTTCTTCAATTCTCCAAAGTAAATATCAACCATTCCCTTATGGAAGGAATGTATGGAAGGAATGTATGAAACGGCCTGGAAGGAAAACTAATTTGAAGGCAAGCAAAATTTGTGGGGTGAGTACATACAGTCGTATTCAATAAAAAAGCGTACAAGTATTAAACATAGAAGATTTCGGCATACTAGTTCTCGTTGTGTAAAATTGGCTCAGCCAATGCTTTGTGTTTTTGAGAACCTATGATTACTCTTCTATGAACATTTGGTAAACATTCATTCCCGATAGGGAATAGGATGACGTTAATTTCTCCTTCCAATATACTTGTACGCTTTTTTTTTAATACGACTGTACATTAAAATTCACTTCTTATAACAGCAGATTGAAATGAAACTATATTGTAGGTATATTTTCAAACAGAACATTCATGAGATCCCTTTGAGAGAATCTGCTGTTCTATTGATTTACAACACAGACTATTGAAAAAATATCTAATATTATCATCACATGAAATGCAAAACAAAATTATCATAGAGAAAGAGGAATTGATTGCAAAACTACGTATTAAAATTGAAAATTTGAGAATGAAACTGAGGAAATCAAGTAAATTTCAACGTGATATAATATCATTGAATGGCGTTTTCAATACCGACCAACTTCCATTGTTCTGCGAAAAGTGCCGTATCGCTATGGATTGAAACGGGTGTTTATACCCTAATTCTATTTTCCATCTACGACAATGATTGATTTGACAGAAAATCTAACTTCTGAAATCGTATTTGACAATCAGGCGCTACTAGGGGAATTAAAAAGACAAAGAGCAGAATATATGTCTTATACAACACAGCCTCGAGCTAAACCGTTACCACCGATACAACAAGGCCTGCATGCTCCGTGGGTGACGTCACTTAGTGAAGCCCAACCAGCGGCTCGAAACGACAAGCGCTTATAGCGCTATAAGGCGACCGTGTATTTCGATTCTAGTTTTAGATCATCATTGAGCCGATTTTGCTGTTTTTTGAAGGGCTTCCGGTTAAAAAAGGATGCTAGTCGTCAACTGAGCCCTTCTTCGCACCCCATTCGATTTTATTGTGGAAAAACGAAGTTTTAAAGCAAAAACCAGGATAAAACACACATATCCACCTACAGCAACCCATTCGAATTGAATATATTGGCAAAAATTGTGGTGAAGGTGAACTTCAGACCTACCTACCTATTTGAAGCTACTTGTTCTTATTTTGTCATTGGACACTTTATATACTCATGATGTACTTCGATGGCACATTTTTATATAGAAAATTCAACAGGAAATATGATTTTTATGGCGAGTTTTTCATATTTAGTGAACAAGCATTCCAGATGACGACCATTTAATCAATAGTCAATCAAAATACGAGATGTCAAATGTCAATAGATTGCTTTCGAATGACATTACACACGCTATTATTTTGAATATTCTTCCTTTTTTTCACTAAATATGGATTAATCTCAAGAAAATCATATTTATAGTTGAATTATATATAAATTGTCCAATATGATGAAAAAAGAAGGGAAATTTGTTTGAATGCCATCCAGAAGACAGGTGAAAAAGAAGGTGAAATTTGGAACTTTTCAGTCAAATATCTTCATGATAAATATCATGATAAATGCAGTTTTACCTTTTTTGAGTAGAGTGTTTGTAGTTCATGTTAATATGATAGTTGCAATTTGATCATTGGAATGAATTCTGCATTCATTGCCACGAGGCAAATGACCGTTTTCAGAAAGAAATTTGAGAATGAGAATTGAAAATGCCCGTTTATTATGAACATTCAAGAAAATTTCCTCGAATTCAGAGATAATTTTGTTGACTATAATATACGAATACAAAACTAACTGCACAATCAAAGCTTTTATATTTTTCCTCTACTTATACTTTTTATGAGAGAGTAATTGTCTTCTATTATTACTGAACTTAGATGGAGTAAATTCCTCGCGATGAATTGCATATACCCACATTTTCGATAGCTCCTCGTCCAACGGGAAACTAAAAGCATGAACTTTTGAACCACCCACATAATTCCCCCGACAAAAGGGAACACAACACTTGAAAGGCATTGTTATTTCGCCGATCACAACACAAAATATTTCACAAAACAGTAATTTTTCCGCCAATTATTTTGATGAATAAACAACAAAAGAAGTCGGGACCGTTTTAAAAACATACGTGAATCACCGATAAATTAACACGAACTGACGCGTTAGTCGACAAGCGATAAAATAAAACACTGGCCTCTCTTGGTGACGTCACGAGCTGTTTACGTCAGAGTCTGCTGGCCTTGTTGTATCGGTGGTAACGGCTAAACTCTACTACGTTTTCCCTTGTTTGATAAATAACTATCGTATAGTGTTTCTTGAGAATGATGAAGATAATGATGATTTAGGTATGAGTTATGGTGGATTTATGCAGCAACATTCAACAGTTATCAAGTAACATTTATCAATTAACAAGTGATGAGAATATTGACATTTATGCAAACCAAATCTACAATCAATGAATTAATAGTACGCAAGCGCACATGCCCTAAATCTGGACTATCAAAGCAATAACCTTGCAAATTCGTTGTTTACGATTTACATAAGGAGCTAAAATTTCGAACTTCATAATGTTTTCTGATCTGGAAGAGACTGGGTGACTCTTATCTACAATTTTCTGTTGATTGCAACTGTTTTATGTTAAAACAAATTTCATAACATCTGTCAGATATCAGGTCTGACATTGGTCTGACCAATCCATGTCTTCTCTACCAGTTGATGAAAGCAATCCGCGATCATCTGCGTACTAGCTGCGCACTAGAAGAAAACCTGGTTCAATCAAAGTGAGAAAGTTAAAAGTTGGTCAACTTGTTACATGTTAATTGATAATTGTTAAATGTCTGCTTCATTGAAAACAGGAAGTTCAACATTTAATTGCTACTTGTTGAATGATAAATGTTACTTGATAATTGTTAAATGATGCAGCATAAATCCAACTCAAGTCAATCCTAGATAGTGTAAAGGGAATTTCAATATGCAATATTGACCTGATTTTGTTGTTTCCGATAAAAACTGACTGTGTGCGTCAGAGGCAGAACATTGTCTCCTTCGACGACATATTCTGGCAAATCGGGAATAGGCTCAACGGAAGTCCTAGTCTTCATTGGCGATTGGAATTTATTTCCTTCGGGCTTCACAGTAGGCGAGAAAGTCTTGTAATTGAAGGAGTTTGAAGGGTGCGTCGTTGTTTTCTGAAATTGATCATAGATGATTTAAATTAAGCAAAATTTATTGTACGACTGTTCAACTTGAAGAAGCTAGTGTGTTTGCGAAACATGTGATTTCAAGAATTCTGTGGAAATATTTTTGTCTGTGAAGTTTTTTACTTTGTCCTAAGTTGATTCATTATCAAGTTACAAGGTGTTGAAATTGAAAAAAAAAAACATTTTCTATTCAGTTAGAAGAGAACTGCTCAATGAAAATTGATGCATGAGTCAGCTGATGCCAATTCCAGTAGAGCCGTTAGTTGTTACTAGAATTCTTCAATGACACTTTTGTTCTGTATATTTATAGTACGGACACTCGACAAGCAGTGACAGTCAGAAATAACCACAAATGATTTTGAAGCAGATCATATCGGTTGCGTGCATGAACTGTCAGATGACCGACCCTGGAGGTGTTGGAAATAGTATATTGTTCAACGAGCACGGAATGATAGTGATTTCCTACGACAATGAAGTTTGCAACATGAGACATAGGCGAATCCTGAGTAGGAAATTAGCATTCCGTGCAAGTTATACACTATAATTTTTCTACGGCTATAATAGATAACAGCGGCATTTTCGATTTCTTCGTCTTGTAGCCATCTGATTTCCTGTCATGTAATGCTCATCTATTAGACAGAGCTGTCATTGCTTGCAATATGACATTCCATGAGCGATGAGATTTTTTTGAAATATTAACACAATGGAGTCATTGTGATATCAGATAATAAAATAAAATTGATGACATACAAAGTACCTCATTGACTTATCGAACACAGTAAAACACGAACAATTTCGTGTTATAGCCGTAGAAAAATATTATTGTAGTGGTTTGAGTATGTTTTTGTATTTGATGATTATGCAAGTCGAAATTAAATATTTTTAGTAAGGGGGGTTTGATATTCGGTAAAGAAAAACCTTTCGTCATTTCAACGTTGACTGATAACAATACCACTCACTTCTACTACTAATGGCTTCACTTGTTTTGGGGGTGTTGGACCGGTACTGCTATTTTCACCATTACTGTATTCACCAAGATAGTTGTCCATATCATCCAAAATACTCGAAACATCACTAGCAGTACTTTCATCGTAAATTGGCTAGAACAATTATTGGTATAGTGATGGAATCAGTATCTCTTGTGACATAAAAAAAATGTTGGTCACTTACCCTCTTCTGTGGGGTCTGATTCTTACACACCGCCTCTAAGATATCACGACCAAAACTAGTATTAGGGTCATCTGAATCATTGTTATCTTCGAAACTGTTCAACAAAGGAAAACTATGTTAGAAACTGTTCACTATCACCATCACCATATTTTAAAACACATGTAATTTAGAAAAGGGCCCATAAGCATACCAAAATTATCAACTTCTGACCACACAGTGAATCTATAAATAAAAATATTATGAAAAATATAAAATTCCACTTTTCTTTGGACATTTGAAAAAACGATGGCTAGCAGTTGATGTTGTTTGCGCCTTTTAATTCTTCTCAGTGACAGAAGTTGATGGAGAAATGTGTGAGCAACAGAGTGTTTTTGATTGATAAAGATAAATAAAATCCAATCCAATCCGCTTGCATTCTCCTGAACGGAACCAATAACAGCTTCCTGTTCAGTTAATATAGGTGAACTCAAAATCAATTGAAAAACACCCAGTAGCTCAAACGTTTTTTAATCAACTTCTGTTACTAATAAGTGTCAAAAAGCGACACCATCAAGTGCAAGACAAATTTCTCATTTTTATGTAGAGAACGGAAGCAGTTTCGTTCCCGAAACGTCCAAAGATTAGTTGAATTGTATATTTTTCAATATACCCATATTCGCCATCCTCAACCATTTTTCAAACTAAGTGTCACTGGGAACTGAATGAATTTTTTCTAAGAATGACAGTAACATTTTGCGGCGAATCATCTGATTTGCCCTCACTACAAGTAAATTGAGATAATACTAATATTTTTATTTATAGACAAGAGCACATTGAAAAAATAATAGAGATATGCATCAAAACAAATTTTATCCCAATATTGAAGCTTCATATTTCTCACACTGTTCAGAAAGCAGATCATGAAACGAAAACCGGAAGTGACTTCAGATTTTGATTTTCATATAGAACACCCAATTTTTTACATTTTTCTGAATATTACAGTTACTGAATATTTCGGTTTCAAATCTCATTCATCTTTCGCATATCTAGGATGATTTTGTAGAATGTTTTTTATTCCTGAACACAATTTTTTTATGAGATATTGAAACATTTAGCATCACCTACCAACAATTCGAATCAAGAAATTAAAATTCGACAATCGACACCTTCTAAATCTGCAGGACCCGATATCCTATATCTAAAAATCCAAAAATACAAGAAATAGAATGTGTTACAATTGAAAATTGAAAGATTAACTCACTAATAATTGTGATGTAATTCAATCTGTCCACATTTCAAAATTATACACCAGATATAATATGATTTCTATCGATCTAATGTCCTGAATGAGAATATTTTCTGTTCTTACAATCCCTTAATATCATTTAGTTTTTAAAATGATTTAGACTGTCAAATAACAGTATTGATTGAATATAAATCATGAATGAAAAGAAACGTGATAAAGCCTGTATACAGGGTGTATCATAAGTACGTTAAAATATTCAAGTGACGTATTCCTGAGGACATTTTTAGAAAAAAGTCTATATAAATTTGTGTCCAGAAATGCTTCATTTCGGAGATACAGGCTGTTGAAATACAGAAAACAAATCATTTTTCGATCAACATTTCATAGAAAAAAAGTTGTTTATTTTGACGAGACCTACCACATACTTATTTTTGTTATGTTCTCAGCAACTCCACTTAGCGTCCTAGGAGCTAAGTAACATGCATCGATATAGAAAATTGTAAATATCTAGAAAACGATCTTCTCCAGCGTGTTGGGGAAGTGTCCCTTTTCTATTTGGAAAATATGTGAGAAGGTTTTTCCATCATAAGTACCGAAAGTTTACTGTCAAAAATGTTAGGGCAAATTGAAATAAATAATGACAGCGTACGCAGCGCCCTCTAGATATTCCATGAACATTAATACGAAATTATAATTTTTCACTTCAAAAAAACCAACGGGAACCAAATTTCATGCAAATAACTCATTTTTTACAAGTTTACATACTTAGACTTTTTCTATTAAAATGCAGGAATACGTCATTAGAATATATAAACGTACTTCAATAGCATTTTCCTTGAACCAACGGTAGGCAAAACATATAACACATTTTCAAATTTAATATACTCCGAAATTTGCATGGCGATATTGCTCAAACAATCAAATTATTTGAAAAGTATGGAGGGTCCTAAAGATATAGTAGGAAATCGAGATAAAATAATTTTCAACCTGTAAAACCTAATCTCTTTCATGCTCAAATAACTATTATATTATGATATATGAACTGAAATCAATAAAAAAAAAAAAAACATGTATATCCACTTTTCCCACTCAATAACCAGTTTTCTGTAACTTTGCACTAGCAGATTTTTTCTCATGCAGTGATAATGAAATGAAAAATGGGATGATCGTATATCTTTTATTAACTTAATACGTATAGGGGTACCATACTCAATTCCTTAATCATAATATAATAAATAAATATCAACATAAACTAAAAACAACAACACCTTTCGAACTAACTACATCTAAATCTGCTTACTTAAGTTCTGACACAAAAACAACATTAGTATTATTGTTTTTGTTTTGAAAATTTGTCATGTTCAAATGGAAAGTTGACTGGAAAAACATTATGTCAAAATAGTAGCTGCAGTCAAATTGCATCACAAGTTATTGTTGAAATCTGGTGTGTGGTGTGTATTCAATTTAAGAATTATCACATTTTTGAAGGAACTGTGTGATTTTCGAAAATATGTGAAATTATTTATTTTCGTATGGTAGCAAGATCCAAAGCAGTAAATAAATGGAAATGATTTATTATTATAGTTGAGATATATTGACAGACTTCTAACAATTTCAGCAGGAATTATTATACAGGGTGTTTCAGTTTTCATTATTAAAAATCTCAAAATTACAATTTTTTCTAACTTTATAGGTTCATTTCATTTGTAAATAGTGATAAAAGACTTTTGTTGATGTCATTATTTGTTTAGTTCATGGAGAATATCAGCACGCCACTTTTCATGGTTTCAATTTTTGTTCCGTGTTTAGTGATAAAAAATGCACTGTTTTATTATCGTGGCAGTTTCATTTTTTTTACAAAAACGAATATTGTCATTCGAAAATAACTCATAAGTGCATAACTAAATTCGAAACAAAAATCTCATACCTTAAAGAAGTTACATGCTATAATTTTCGTTTACTACCGGGATGTCACTGAAATGAACAAGGAGAAGTCAAATCTAATTAATCTAATAATCAAATTTCACCTCGTTTTGACGAATAAAAAATATGACCCAAAGGTTGACAGGTAAAAACTGAAACTCCCTTTGTAGATCTGATAAACAATAATAATTGTTTATAATTATGATAATTGGATGAAAAAATAGAATTATGAAGATTAAGTGATCACATGGAAAAGTAAGTTTTTGTTACTATTAAAATGAATGAATGAGGCTCATAGAGGCAATAAAAATCATGAATAAAAATATGTTTCAGTATCAGTCTTCTTCGAGTTTCTATCACAAAATGTTGATATACATGTGTGCGTACAGGGTGATTCATTAAGAATGGTCAATCTCTGAACTACAGATAGTAAACACCAAAATGTTGCTGGTTTAGGAGATACAGGGTGTTCGAGGGGAAGAGTTTAGTTCAAGATTCCTCAATATATCTGTAAGTCTTAGCAAAATGAACATAAAACTTTGCAGTTTCAGTTTTTTTGACATGAAAGATATGAATTTGTAACTTATTTTGTGATTGCTCATAGAGGACACTAGTGGCAATCTGTTACCATAACATCGACGTTGACAATTAAATGAAGATTAAAATAAGTCAGATATCTGAGAACCTGTTCAAATTTACATAAAAAATTTACTGTTTTTCAAATTGTCCAGCTCTAACGATTTTGCGTTATTCGCTCTCGAAGAGGTTTGTGTTTCACTCTATGATATTTTTATTATTTAAAATTATGAAGTTAGTGAATAGGCAGTGAAAAAAGGCAGTAATAAATAATGACAATCACTAACAACGACAACAAAAACATAATTTCAAAGTGAATATTTGACCATAGTTAATTTGACTTAATTTTTTTCCCTCAAAAACCCTGTACCTGCAACATTTTCAATAGGCATGTTGGAATAAATCTTCATATTTTGGTGTTTACTACCTGTGGTTCAGATATTGCCCATTCTTAATGGATCATCCTGTATATAGTCATTCTTGAACTTTAGAGATATATTCATTCACGTCGTTCAATAATCAAGAATCTTAAAAAAAAAACCTTCACATTCCTGGTTACTTAAACAGGGTGTTCCTAAATTCAAGTAACAAAAGCCTACGGAAGAGTCTTACATAATGTAATTTCTATACTTGCATATTGAAGATCATAATAATTATGCAAATAAACAAATTATGTAAACCCGTTTGTCCAGTTGGATGCAATTTTAACAATTTGTTGGGAACTTCATCAGGTATTCATTATTCCAGATTTTTTGGGATTTTCTCTCCTGTTTCTATATGATACGTTTCGGGAACGAACCTGCTCCTGTTTTCAATATAAAACATCACCTGATTTATCCGCACTATACTATATTGAAATAATAATCATATTTTTATTTTATAGAAACGATGAGACAATCGCAAAAAAAATTAATAATGAATATACCACCTCCTCAGTCAACCTACAGACAGTATTCATCAGTTATATTTTGGACTTCCCAGTCTACTCAGGAATTCGAGGCGTGCTTAGGAGGCAAGTCGGTTAGTTTTCTGCAAAGATTTAACTATCTTTGCTTTTGAGATAAAAAAAAAGAGTTCAGATTGAAAGAACTGAAATGAAACATTTCTTTATCAGATAACAGTGAGATGGAAAATATCAAGACAAGGTGTTATTTTTCGTACACAAAACTTCAACACTCTGTATCTTTAAAACGAACCATTCCCGGTTATTATGGGGAACTTTCCTTCTCATTTTCATGGTAATCTTTCCTAGACTTTTTCATCACTTGAATTCAGGAATATCCTGTAGAACGGAGCATACTTATCATCTCAAGGAGACGGTACTAAGTGCTATGGCCTGATTTCCGGTTATGGAAAGAATTATGTAATTGTTGACCATTCTAGAACACATGATTTTGACACGGAGGGTACACGAACTATCTGTAAGGTTAGTTTTGATGAGCATAGCCCTGCCCACATCCAGAATACAATAGCATATTCACCAAACAAAATCATCAAACTCATTTGGGTTCCACCTCCGTTCCTAAGGAAAACGATCTCGTTTCATATGACAAAATACAATGTTTGCCCTTCAACGACCTGTCAAATGACGTAATTATGGAATAAACAATAATTGAAACGTCCCTGGCAATTGTTGTAATATAGGGTGGGGCATATGAACCAAATGTTTTTTGTTTGGGTAGTACTCGGCCATTAGAAAAGAGCGGGGCGCGCGATTTATTACAATCCATTCCTTGACTCGAAGGTTCTCAGTTGTCAGTTTTCACTTGCCATCTAGAAGCGGTGAACGCTAGAGCAACGAGTGTTCGTTATTGTTATTTCACAAACACTTGATTCCTATACCCCACCCTGTACAATAACTTACTTACATTCTTCCATTGCACCACTCAGAAGCTTTGGTTAGGAAAATAACAAGTATTTCTTTCACTTGTTTCTCAGTGAATTCTTTAGTCAGTGTGTTTTTCTTGCATACTTCTAAAAGAAGGAGCATAGAAATCAAGTGTTTGTGGAATAACAATAACGAACACGCGTTGCTCTAGCTCCGCTCCATGATGGCAGGTGGCAACCAAGAAAGTGAAATGCTTCGAATCGAGGAATGAATTGTAATAAACTGCGCGCCCCGCCCTTTTCTAATTGCAGAGTACCTACTACCCAAACCAAAAACACTTGGTTCCTATGCTCCACCCTTTATTAGTTACAGTACTCTATAAATGTGTCTTCCTCTGTACAATATAAATAATTACCCATAAAACTATTTTGTTGTGCCATATTTTCGCTCGAAAAGCGATTTAGGGATCCCACGTGATATTGATAAGCTGGGAAAATATCCGCAATGAGTATTTCACAAACTTATCAACAATCAAATTTTTCTAGAGAACGATTCGTACCTGTCATTTGAAAGTGTTCGAAGAATCATATTCTGGGTACTAAAAATGAGATGAATAGTGATATATGTATATGCATTGGTAAATAGTTTCGCAGAAAACGATGTGTACCTTCAGGGACCAAATTTCGTTATTCTAGGATCAATGGCAACAAATATAATTGAATGAATCTGCATTTAAGGACTTACCTACAATGGGCTGTTGATAGGAACATATTTTATTTTATCTGCAGGATTACCTCCCGGAGTATACGAACCCTGTCATCCTGTATATACAGGAGTTTTTTGCAGCAGGACTTCAATAGCTTGAAGAATTTAATGTTTCAAGATGATGACCTTATGTAAACATAAATAGGCGGTGTGATATTTTTATATATTTTTTTTGTTTTTCAAGTTTTGTGACTGAGTTTCATCAACACATCTTATGAAAGCTTTCGATTATCCCAGGTGTTCTAATCGATTATTAGGAGATGTCAAATTGAGTTTCTTCGGGATCCATAGTTTTTGAAAAACATATAAGTATCCAAATGAATGCGAGAATCTGAATTATTGTTTCATCGAAAGCAATGGCAGCACGAAAAATAGTTTACGATGGTTAAATTGGGTACAACTTCCAATAGTGTAGCATCCTGTAGGTAATTGAAACGCCTGATATTGAGGCTATATTCTGATTTTTGTTTCATTCCGAGATCAAAAAAATTCCTAAAAGTGACAGATACTTGTGAGTAGACATACTATTCATTCCTAATATTTCGAATCAACATTCTGGTGAAATTGCTGACTGTCAAAAGGTAGTGTGGCTTCAGTGAACTGTCATTATTTTAGAGGGAGAAGGAATGTCACATTCATTTCCGTTATTTTTTAAAAATGTTTTGTCTATCACAAAATACCTGTTATTTAAATAATTGGCCAGATAAACGAAAATCTACCGATGTAACATCGTGACAACTGACAAATTTCACCAGCTGATCGAGTGATGCTGATTACTGATGAAAACGTTTTCCGAATTACAGCAATATATTTTTGATTTTATATTTCGGAACACAGATTTTCAGCAGAGTCAGTGGATTTACTGACAGTACTGACCAGTTATTTATTTATTTATTTATTTATTTATTGAAAAGTTCTGGTATAAGGAAGTATAGTTAACAATAATACCTAAAACTATACAATTATAATAAACTGATGAATAATAAAATATTTGAAAACATTAATTATTAAATTTTGACAAATCATTTCATATTGGTGAGCAAAAATCAATTTGAATATGAATCAAAAGTTGAAAAAAAAAAAGTCATCTATTTCGTTCAGAAATGATAAATTTTTTAAGAAGGTATTTGAATTTTATTGTATTTCTGCAATTTTTTATATTATCTGGTAATTTGTTATATTCCAAGAGAGCAGCGTCGGTGAATTTTTTTTGGCCTATAGAAGTATTAGCGATATCAGTTGAATTCGGAATATAGCCTGTGTTGTTCACAAGTCTAATAGGTGTACCAAATGTCAATTCATTATTTTGAAAATTGTGGGAAATTGAGAAATTATTGAAAAAATCTCAAACTCCGACTCTCTGTATATCGGAAACGAAGCTCCCACGCATATATGTACACATGAAATATTCGCCTTGAAAAAATGTGTTCTTCAAGCTGCTGAAGTCCTGCTACAAAAAACTGACTCAGTATAATTACCAAAATTAACATAAGTTATTATTACTGACAATTTAATTCATGTATGAAAAATCCCACAAGTCGCGTGATTTTGTCATTATGACAGTGAAACAAGTTTGCCCTAACTTTTCTAGCGACAATAACTGAACCTAACTTTTGAAAGCATGACAACCAGCCATAAACAAAATGTTTGATGAATTAAATTAGGTAACTCAACTCAAAAAACTGCCAAAAAATTCAGTTTTTTTCGTCAAATTGTCAGGCAACAAAATTCTTATTGATACATGTCGAGTTTACTTCGACAGAAAAAATCTCTCGTGTTATTATAAGTGAAAAAAAAAACAATGTGTTACGTGGATAGGAATCCTCCGAAGTACATGTAGTTGATAACGTAGAGGGCGAGCAGGTTAACTTTGAGACAACTCGTGGTCACGTATGAATGCAAGACATGTTGAATCACGTGGTCTACTATACTTCGCTAATTGAGCTCACCCCATAACTTGTTAACAATGGAATTATTGGGGTAAAATAAATATAGATTTATGAATAAAATGTGGCGTCTCCATTAGATGATAAGTCTACGAATGGTAGAATGCCCAAGCAAAACCAATGAACTCAATATAAATAACTGGAAGGGAGACGGCCGTTCTCTCGAATAGCACAGTGTGTCAGGGGCAGCTGCAACAAGGATAGCATGATTTACGGTAACCTGTCTCTTTCCTACTCGTGCTGTTTAATGGTGGATTGGTGTTTACGTTTTCTTTTATCTAATAATTAAAGTACTTTAGCTTTTTTTCTCTCATCTAAACAGGCAAGAAAGTGAGGACATAAGTTCATTGTCTTTGTTCATGTGAAATATCTATTCATTTGGCGTGTTTTGTTTTATAAAAAGGACTGAATTTGTGGGTGTGAACACTGTGAACTGATTGTTGAGAAGGTTTTGATAAACAATGGTGATTTATTGTTTCGCCTTTGGATGCAAGAACGAGCAAAAGAAAAGGAAATTGTCATTCCATGGGTAAGTTGAATATTGTTCAGATTTTTGGAAAATATAGTTCTTGAAATGATCATCAGTTAGGTGTACAATGTTCCCAGTCTCAGAATATGTTCAAAAACTATACCTAAATTATTTGTCAAAGTTAAATACTTCCATGATTTTTCCATAAACATATCAAGTAATATTATTTGTTGCAGCTTTCCATTCAGACATTCTTGAATGATGGATTAAGGCAGTTCGTAGATAGAGTTGGACTTCATCTAAAACCAGCGAGCTTTGTGGATGGCATTTCCTGCCAACTGATAATTTATTTAGACATACCAGGTACTGCTAGGTTATTGAAACCAGATGCTGTACCCAGTAAAAAGTATGTTTGCACCTCTTTAAAATAAAAAACTAGCTAGTAATTTATTTTCAGGATGCATCTGTGGAAGTTCATAACATTGGGTCCTAAGGAAGATGTTTCTCATATTATCGACTTTACCTATGACTTCCAGCTCCCAAGTTTCAAAGTTCATCAATAAAGAAACCCAAACTGTTCCATTGGAGAAGGATATTGTATTGAGAATTGTATTTCTTTAATTTCTAATAGGGATATGTTTGTAGGCAGCGACCTAATGGTAAAATAGGAACCTGTGGAAATTATGCTCAAAATGGACCTTAAGTAGTCAATACCATTCAATAACATCTTTTCAATTTTTTCCTATCGTTTTTCTTTTTCTTCTGATAGTGCTAAGACATTGTGCTTCGCTCTCCCTGTACAATATATTGTGACATTTGAATGAAAATATATAATTTCAATCTTGTATTCATTTGACTTCCTAATCCTGTAAGAATAAAAATGAAATTTCATTTTCGAGTCAATAAAAAAATCAATGATAATTTTTTTAATGATAAATCACGTCTACTTATAAATAAAAGCAAAAAACGAGAAGATATTTCAAATAATGCGAGCGCTTCCCATTAGCGAACATAAGATAGAGAGAGATAGGTATCCGTAAACACTGCGGGTTGCCTGAACAATATTTTTGCCTCACTCGTCGTTCACAGAGGGTCCCTTCCAGTTGTTTATATTGAGTTCATTGAGCAAAACAGCCAGTAAATGATGGTGAGCGTCTATGTTTGCACATGGTCGCGAACGCCGAAAGCACCTATCAAGCCAGACAAAGACAAAACAATATCCAATTGGTAATTTTATCGCACCTGCTTTGACCTTCGTCCGGCGAAGGACTCCTGGTGTGGTTGTCGGTTTCCGTTTCCGTGGTGGCTTCGATGTCGGAAAGGTTCGGATATAGGGCTCCCGGTTTCGGTCCCGTCACTTTGATCCTTTTCACTTCGTTCAATACCGCTGCCACTTGGGGACTATCGCCTTTGCCTGGAATAGAGCAGTTCAGCTAGCTTTGAGAGAGGAAAAAAAAATGTCTTCCCCATCTGTTCTTGTCTTCAGTGTTTCAACGTGAAATAATGGAAAGGACAACGCACTTTCCTTATGGAAAATGGCTTTCGGTTAAATTCTCTGAATTTTTGCTATGATATAGATTTCGATTCCCTAAGCAAAAGTGTCCATAGACCAAAGAAATCGGCTTAATAGTTTTCGAGATATATGGTGTCAAAGATGAAAAGTGAAGCTAACTAATACGAGAATTGACAGAACGCCCATATATTCATGGAATAACATGCCTGAATGACGGTAAAATGTCATCTGGATCTCGTATTCAGTATAATTTTACGTTTTGGGCTCTACAACAGGGTGAACAAAGAAATTATTTCCAACCTTGAGAGGGTTATTGCTTCTGATACATTTCGAATTTCTCTAGCTTCTTCGGAAACAGGGCTTTCAAATGAAAATTATTTAATTCATCCTGTATATAAGGCATTGCATTTTTGGAATAGGTACCGCACTAATCTAGCCCGAATATTTTTCAACATGAATTGATGGACTGTATCTTTTTACTCACCATATATATATGAAATGAGTATGCGACGTTCTCAACATTGAAGAATGTTTGATATATATATGACATGCTCTCCCCTTTACGATTAAAAAAACTAGGGATTGTCGTACCCCAATTTTCGAACCACCCTGTATATAAAAAAAAATCAGTCAGCTTCCATCGAGATTGAGGATGTTCGTCCAGGCTCAATTGGATCTTTAATTCTCATGAAAGAACTTACCCTGGTTGGTTTAAAATTAATCCAATTGGATTTTTCTTTGTTCACCCTGTTGTAGAGCCCAAAACATAAAATTATTATGGATACGAGATCCAGAGGACATTGTACCATCATTCAGGCATGTTATTCCATGAATAAATGGGCGTTTTGTCAATTCTTGGAGTTGTTAAAAATTCTAAGCAGAAAGCTTCACTTTTCATCTCTGACACCCTGTATCTCGGAAACTAGCCAGCCGATTTCTATGTGCCCATGGACACTTTTGCTTAGGAAGTCAAAATCTACATCATACCAAAAATTCAGGGAATTCAAACGAAAGCCATTTTCCATAAGGAAAGTGCGGGGTCCTTTGAAGTTGGTAACATTGGAAACGGGAAAAAATGGAGGGAAAGGTCATACTAACCTCAATAAAAAAAATTTAGAATGGTCTTCTTCTCCATGTCTTCTGATTTCCAGTGTCGCCACTATAAAATGTTCATCATTTTACGTTGGAACACTGAAGACAAGGACAGATGGGGAAGACTAGAGAGACTTTATAGAGTTACGACAAAAGAGGTACACTTTTTGATTGGTCAGACCTTAAATATGGAGGTGCACCCCCCTGTCGTGTTTTCTCCATTCAGTTCTACGCATTCCATTTCACTTTGTTAATGCTTCGTCTCTGTGTTTTTTGCTCTTTGGACACAAAACATCCAACAATCAGACATGAAACTTTATACGTCAGTACCTTGGATATTAACTATTAGAATCTGTCTTTTGGGACTTGTAAGTCTCAGATTATTCAGATATTGGAATGAAAATATCAAATATCTAAACCTAACATCAGATGGGCACTTCGAAGGGGCAAACTCATTACTGCATGGGAGAGACCCTTCAGATATTAAGCTACTCAGTGACTTGACCACGAATGACATTCCGGAAACGGCTGCCATTTGGAAGTATATTGTCGTCACTCTATTTAATCTACTCACTCTAGAGTAGACATTTTTTTTCTCTCTCAACGCTAGTTGAACTACTCTATTTATACAGTGGGAAAGTACCGAAGGTATGTTCTTCTTTGAACAAGAGAGAAAACCGTCAGCGGTCTTTTATATTTTACAATTGAATACTGATTACTCAACAACAATAGACATCCTTATCTTATTAATACACACGGTGTATTTCAGTTAAAAATAAAGCGTGTGGTGAGGTAGCGCTTATTTGAATTTGCTTCTCATAGGCAAGGTCTCACTAGGTTATACAGGTAGGTCAGTACTCTATTCACGTTGGATTTCCGGTTCGTGGGTTCGATTCCCAAAACTGCAGACATTTTTCTGATGGCCTAGGCAATTGTTAGATATCAACTCCATTTACAAATTCAAAATATTAAATTTTCCGTCGAATACAACTATAAACATTCAAATCTGAATTTTGAAGATATGTTAACTCTCATCGAAATTAAATCAGATATGGGTAAAAGATCTATTTTAAACAATGGAACAATTCTCTATAATGAATTATCTGTCAGACTGAAGAACAATTAAGTGTTGAGAAATTCAAAAAAGAACTGAAAAAATACTTGTGTCTTTGATTCTCTTATATCATCCTAAATCAATTCCAGAACTTATATTCAACAGTCTCTAGAAGAAACAACAATATGATTTTTTTTTTTTTTAGTTGCTCTTCCATAATTTTTCCTGCTATAAACATATATGTGTTTCTTGGGAATAATGAAGATTATTATAAATGAATCACAGTATATCTATTGTTATTTATTCTTAGGTAGCAACTCACCATGTGGCTTTCCTCCACTCTTCCTTTTCTCGGCAGATTTCCTTCTATTTCCGGCGTTGACGATTTGTGCCACACTCCCGCTTATCATGGCAGTTTTCTCATCTACCTCTGTACCATCTTCTTCATCATCATCTGTATCTTTCACGATTGCATCATTCACCACCTGAACAAAAAAAAAACGTGAGGGAGAAAACATCAATGAGATAATTTCGAATAACTCACCGCTTTATTCTTATTGAACCGATTCAGCAACATGTCCATCTCTTTCTGTCTCTCCGATTTGACGCTGCTTTCGATTTGTTCTTGCGAAATGGTGGTCTTGTTCTGCAGCAAAGCGGCCATCTTGTTAGCAATACCCCCGGCCTGCTGGACAGCCGCCACTGTGGGAGTTGAAGTCTCCACAGGTGGTTTCGGGGCAGGTTTTTTGGCAGATTTCGGGGGACTGTGGATTATTGGTTTCACGGTCTCCAAGTGTCTAACTTCCGACGGTTTGTTGGTTTTTTCTGCGAATATCCTTGTAGCACTGGCTTTCGTTGTAGTTTCAACTTTGACTGGAGGGGCCATGCCGAAAGCTGCTTTCGGGACTAGGGCTTCGCCTCTATTTTTTTCGAACAGAGCCATTCTTTCTGACACAGAGAGCAGAGCGGGATCTTTCGTGCTCTTGCTGGGGCTTGTTTCGAAAATGGCAGCGCGGCCAGCTATGTTGCCAGATCTCAGGTTCGATTTTGATGGATACTTGGTTCCTTCTTCGTTTTTGGATATTCTGACACTCAACTTGGTAGGACTTGAAGGGGCTTGCGGCAATTTCTGATCATTGCTAGTCTTCGCTTCCAACACACTTTTCAATTGTTTTATTTTGCCCTCTGTTGGGATTTCTTCTTCTTCGGGAATTACATTTGGCTGCTCTTTCGTTACCGGCACTTTTTGTGCCGTTCTGACTTCGATATTTTTGTCCTGTGAATTATACGAATATACCAAACGCGACTCTGAATTTGTTCGCGTAAATCCTTGTGATTCCTGCAGTAATGAAGAAAAATAAAAATTCAATATCTATGAATTATATGAGTAAGCGATGTAGTGAGTATTATTGTGCAAGGAAAAACATTCTTTCAGTCAAGATTCTCTTCACATTGAATTCAAAAGTAAGTTTGCAAAAATTACAACATGAAAAACAATGAAAATAAATTGGTGCCTCTTTCACTCACTGTAAAACTAATTTAAAGCATTATTATTTTGTGTAAGTTCCTTCATAGATTTGCCCATTTAATAATGGAAAAATTATTATTCCGAATATTATTTCCTGAACTTTCAATTGGATATACCTACAGGATAAATTTTAGGTGTTGATTTTTGGGGATTCTTGAATTATGCCAAGTAAAAAGTGAACGGTTTGATGATTATTCAATTGAAACAAGCAAAAAGAATATAGTGAAACATGGAACGGACTCAACAAGTAATGTTGATTCTGATTATGAAACAAAATACAGGGTGTTCCATTTGGAATAATTAATATGAAGTTCACTTGCAGTATTAGCGGAAGTCCTAATAGTACGTAAATATTTCAGCTGAAAATCTTTCTATCCAATCTGTGATATTCTCAACTTTCAGAAAAGTTTACCAATACCATTTTACAATTTGGCTAACGATTTTTTGTGACATAATATAATAATTTAACTTAGTATATCTACTTAATATTTTACTGAAACATCTTCCAATAATTTCAATTTTCGCCTATTAATTAGTTATCTATCACAGGCAGAAACATTAAATTTTGAGCAGAATATTAATGCAGAAATCACAAGCAAACAACTTCTCTTACAGAATTAGTTATACAAGTCATGAGACATGAGCAACTGAACATACTCTTGCTACATCAAATTACTATAATTTCTTATTATTTATTTTCAGTTAATGTTCAGAGCAATCATTAATTTACAAAATGAAATCATATTGCATGCACTCCCAATTATTTCAGAAGGAAAAAAACAAAGGAACTTGAATTCGATCAATTACCAATTCATCTTCATAATACCAAAAGTAGTGTTTCTTACCATAGCTTCCCTCCCAATGGTCATTATCTTAATATAGTTAGTGTATTTCATAGAATTGGCATCATATGGGAGAAACTAATGATTATTTATTTTGAAATTCGACTTGGGCGTCTAGGTCTGCTTTGAAAAAATAGAAAATGGTCAAATTTTTCGGTATCACGTGACTTTCGTTACATGTAAAAAATTACATTTTTCAATTTCGTTTGGAATTTCGAATATGATTTTGTGGTCGACCGACTTTGAGTTTCTTTGTTTTCGTCTTCTTGATAATACTTTGAGAATGGATGGATAATGACTTTTCAAATTATTTGCTCAAAAAAATCGTACCAAGGTATCCAACACATTTTTATCCCACTTCAATTTCTTGGGAACAGCGTCGACCACTTGAATCCTGTCATCCTTTCTAGGAGTAACCACTTGCTTGGTTGGGCTCCCTCTCAAGTCCCCTTTATCAGGGCTGTTTGCCCTAAAAATCGGTGGCTCTGGAGCCTTGGGTTTTTGCGAAATTTTCGTCGGTACCGGTTTTGGGGGCGAAACCGTTACCGGAGGTTGTGGAGCAGGAGGTTTCCAAGTTTTTTTCGGGGATGTCACCTTCTCCTCCACATGACGAGGCTACAATCAAAAAAGCCACCTAGATACAGGTATGTACAAGAGACACTGAGTCATCTCCACAACTGTTGATAATCAAAAAGATTATCTAAATGTACAGAATTCTATATGTTGTATCGTTACCATCGAGACAATAAGACCTGCATGCTCCGTGGTGACGTCACCTTAGTGAGGCCTAACCAGCGGCTCGAAACGACAAGCGCTTATGGCGCTATAAGGCGACCGCGTATTTCAATTTTAGTTTTAGATCATTATTGAGCCGATTTTGCTGTTTTTTTGAAGGGCTTCCGGTTAAAAAAGGATGCCAGTCGTCAACTGAGCCCTTCTTCGCATCCCATTCGATTTTATTATGGAAAAACGAAGTTACAAAGCAAAAACCAGAATAAAACACCTACAGCAACCCATTCGAATTAAATATATTGTCAAAAATTGTGGTGTAGGCAAACTTCACACCTACTTATACAGGGCCCGCAGAACATAAACTTATCGTGAGATTGATCGAAAGAAAATTATGGAAAATGTATTTTATTTTGATAGACATGCCGTTTGTTATAATTACCCCGTGAGTGTTTTCAATTTCCTGTTGTTGGATTTTTTACCCAATTGATCGTTAGACTTGAAACAGTAATTTTTAAGGGTAAAACTGCATTTATCATGCGATGGTTTTTTGTTTTCGAAAATGTTTTTTGGTACTTACGTATTATTGTCTGAAAAACACGAATTTGATAATGAAAATGTGAACAAACCACTATTTATCGAGATATTTCAAGAAAAAGTTCGAAATTTCGCCTTCTTTCTCCCCTTGTGTTGGGAGCATTTAAAGCTACTTGCTCTTCATATTTTTTCATTGGACACTTTATATACTCATGATGTACTTCGATGACACATTTTTATATAGAAAATTCAACAGGAAATATGATTTTTATGGCGAGTTTTTCATATTTAGTGATCAAGCATTCCAGATGACGGCCATTTAATCAATAGTCAATCAATATACGAGATGTCAAATGTCAAAAGATTGCTTTGGAATGACATTACACACGCCATTATTTTAAATGATATTCTTCCTTCTTTTCACTAAATATGGATAAATCTCAAGAAAATCATATTTATAGTGGAATCATATATTAGAAAAAATTGTGTCATACATTGTGATATACAGGGTGTTCATTTCAGGACTTCCCACCCTAATTTTCTCGAAATGTGTGTATGTTTTTGAAAAATCCCGAGACACGTCAACTACATTTTCGAGGGGGACATGGTTCTAAAATATTTTCAGCGCCGCGGCGTTGCCGCTTCTAACGAAAAGAAGCAACAACTTTGTTATTTCAAATGGAACACCCTGTATTTAATTGCATTTTTAGATTCTCCCTGGAAAGCTGATTTCATCAATGTATCACACTTGGGGTCTAGCAGGAATGATTACAGAGATATAGGGTGTTCAAAATCGAGATTTAACAACTTTAGGATTTTTTTGAGTCGAAACTATTCATTATTGGTCAAAACGGCTTTCATGTCCCTATCTCAACTTTTGATTCACTATCTACTGACATTCATTTGAAACAAATACAGGGTGATCAAAAGTCTGAATCTTGAAATATCTTAATAAATAATGGTTTTTTCACATTTTCATTATCAAATTCGTGTTCTTCAGACAAAAATACAAAAGTACCAAAAAAAATTTTCGAAAAAAAAACCATCGCATGATAAATGCAGTTTTACCTTTTTAAGTAGAGTGTTTGTAGTACATGTTAATATGATAGTTGCAATTTGATCATTGGAATGAATTCTGCATTCATTGGCACGAGGCAAATGACCGATTTCAGAAAGAAATTTGAGAATGTATTGAGTTAAAAATGCCCGTTTATTATGAACATTCAAGAAAATTTCCTCGAATTCAGTGATGATTTTGTTGAATATAATATACGAATACAAAACTAACTGCACAATCAAAGCTTTTCTCTTTTTCCTCTACTCATACTTTTTATGAGAATAATTGTCTTCTATTATTAATTCATCATTATAAATTAAGCTCTGTTTACTACTGTACTTAGATGGAGTAAAATCCTCGCGGTGAATTGCATATACTCACTTTTTCGATAGTTCCTCGTCCAACGGGAAACTAAAAGCATGAACTTTTGGACCACCCACATAATTCCCCCGACAAAAGGGAACACAACACTTGAAAGGCATTGTTATTTCACCTATCACAACACAAAATATTTCACAAAACAGTAATTTTTCCGCCAATTATTTTGATGAATAAGCAACAAAAGAATTCGGGACCGCTTCAAAAACATACGTAAACCACCGAACATGAATCAACACGATAACACGAACTGACGCGTTAGTCGACAAGCCATAAAACACTGGCCTCTCTTAGGTGACGTCACGAGCTGTTTACGTCAGAGTCTGCTGGCCTTCTAATCTCGATGGTAACGGTTGTATACCTCGGACCTACACTATTTGCTAAAGGACAGGCATATGTCACCAGTGCATTGGATGGATTAAAAATAGTAGAGCTTGATTGCTTGATACTCACCAGCAAGACACAGTCCAACGAAAGTGCAATAAAGGAAATAAAACGTATCCAACAATTTAGAATTCAAGCATCATGAATAGAGTCACTCTGGTATCGAAAAGTGAAAAAAAAAGTTATTACTTACAGTACTGACATCATCCTCCCATTGATTGATAGTCTGTGCCAAGTCTGCTAATTTGCTCAATCCCTTTCTAGAAGACTTTGCAAGCTTTTCTGATTTGGTTTTACTCTGGTCGGAATTTGAGCACTCATTAGTGCAGAACTTTGCTTCAGTTTTGTGAATCGGAGAAGAAATGTCTGCTTCTTCCCCACCTAAAATACATTTGCTGGCAGGAGTGGCAAAAGATGTATAACCAATTTTGAAAGATTCATCATACAGAGAAGTGCAAAAAAAACAGTCAGGGCTGTAACTTTTGAATTATTCGAGATAGGGTTTTGAAAATTGGTGGGCAGCGAGTATACTCAAATTTTTGTTCGATTACTTCCGGTTTTGCTGGAAACGACCCCAACTTTTGATTTTTAAATAATCGGTTGGGGATTATCATGACGAATTCAATGATACCGGGTTTGAAAGGTTTATTTCAAACGATTACAAAGATATTTGCGTTCTAAGTTTACAAATGCTCAAAGGGTGTGACTTCGCAATATCAAAACTTCTTTCTCTATCACACTCAGTGAGCATATGGAAACTTAGAATCCGGTATCGATGAATTCCTTATGACTTTCCCTAACCGATTATGGAATACGATACAGGGTGTCCCATTTAAAAATTAAAAGTTGGTGTCGTTTCCAGTAAAATCGTAAGTGATATAACAAAAATTGTTTCGTTAATTAATGAGCAATTTGGCATACTAGCTGCCCACCAATTTTCAAAACCTCATCTTGAATAATTCAAAAGTTACAGTCCTGGCCGTTTTTTGTGTACTTCTCTGTATATCCATTTTATTATATTCATGATTATATCTGACAATATTCCTTTTCAGAAAAATATTGTTTAAAAAATAGAGAAGAAAAGAGGGTATATCAGGGGCGTCCGCAGAAATAATCTCGGGGAGGGGCAAGTCACAATAAATAATGTACATTATTCAGAACATAAAAAACCTGTTTTTGCACGACCTATAAGCGATTTTACACCGACAAAAGCGGGAATACAGGGTATACAGAGTAGGCACTGTCTAGGCTAAAAAAATTTCCGGGATTTTTCTGTGATGGCAATAAATCTACCACTATGTTTGCAGCAGCTTCTTCAATAGTTTTTCCACAAATTCCTGCAATATTTATTGAAAAAACTTTGGAAAGCAATTTAGAAAATATGCTATCACACTTTTTCGATGTTCACGAAAAGCAATATGGCTACTCTTCTTTATCGGTAGTCATGATAATCAAACTTCATTTTGTGATTATTGTGTTCAGATTTTCATCATCATATTGACAATAATTGATTTCATCATAAGATTCTTTGCATTGAAATCGTCGAGTCCTGCAAAAATGGTAAATAAACAAACCTCGGAAGTGAGTTTTTTCTTCCCTCAGTGCATTGTAGCCTCGATTGTAGCACCCTCTGGCTACAAAACCACCTCTGGAAAAATCATGCACTTCATTCTCTCGATTTATAATCTACTATTATTCTACATAAAACACGGAATAAAAAATAGAATATTAATTGAATTGACATCACATAGGTATTCTGGTTACAGCCAAAATTACAATAAAAAATTGCACGTGATGATAATCATAATCTTGTTTAAAAAAAGGCATTCTTATAGTCTTGAGCAAAGGACCCCGCACGAAAACACGGGAAATTGGCTCTCGGTCGAATTGGCTGAAATTTTACTATGTTTTTGTGGGATGGCTCATTAAAAAAATATGTGAGTTTGAAAAGTTTTGTATGTTTAGTTTCTGAGATATAAGCCGACAAAGTTCGTAAAAATGTCGTATCGGGGTAGGATTGACAAAGAAAAAAACTGTTTTTTTAGTATAAATAAGACAAAATAAGCTAGAAAATGTATTGATCGGAACTCAAATACATGTCTAGTTATGATCACATAAATTATAGTAAATCAGGGTGTATACGAGGCACGGTCAAAAAATTCATTTTTCGGATAAAAATTCGAGCACTATTTCAAAACCAACAAGCTATATTTTGGTGGGACATTATAGTTTTAGTCTATTATAGGCTTCGAAAACGTATTTTGATTCTTGATAACTATCTTCGAAATATGAATTTTTAGAATTTTGTGTTATATCCTTTATCAATAACTTCGTTGATAAAATTAACTCTTTATACAGGGTGTTTCCTAACTACGGTTCCTAACTGCAGGTGGTGATTCGTTAGGTCATTTTAGGGAGAAAAGTTCCCATCAACATATAACCGGAGTTGCTTCGTTTCTGAGATAGAGGGCGTTGAAATTAAAGAAAAAACCCGGTAATTATAAAATATCATGAAAATTCTAGAACCGATTTGGTTGGAATTTGGTACTTTTATTTGAACTGATAAGGCGCTTATTTAGCCCTATTTAGATTGAAATTATTGGGGCCAGTGGCGTCTCAGTGGGCACCACAGCCAACAAACAATATTGTGAAAAAAGTACGCCACTGACTTTTTTGATAAATTTTTATTTTTGTGAGATCAGACAACTCAAAATACAACTTTTTGGTCTCTTGTATTTTCTCCATATCCAGCTTCGTTTTCGAGAAAAAAAATCAAAGCCACTGTATTGCATATCATGAACACCTGCATTGGAGAAATGAGTTTTTCATCATTTCCGCCAAAAATATAATTGACACTTGATATGCATAGAAAATTTGACAAATAAAAGTACCAAATTTCAACCAAATCGATTCCAGGATATTCATGATATTTTATAATGGGCTTATATAACAAAAAAAATTTATTTCACAATTCGATAGAACTCACCCAAACTAGCTCACCACCGCAAACCGTTTCTTGAAGTGAGCTCCCTACGTTTTATAAAAACTTATTGAAATCCCCGATTTTTCGGACCTCTGAAAACGAGGCGAAACGTCAAAACCCTAATACTGAAACAAGACTATTCCAGACAGAGATGAATGATACATGATTTCTGACAGAGTGAATTAGCGCGAGATCACAGTTGAAAGAATTAATATATCAGTTGCCTTAGTCTCCGTCGGGCATTTGGTATTCTTTTTCAACTATGGCGAGATGAGGTTTTTACGTCAGAGGGTCCGTTTTCAGAAGGTACCATTATTTATGTCCAAAAATAAAACATTCCAGTTAATTTCTCGATCGAATTATGTCGTCAATCATTATTTATGTATAAAAGGATCATTATAAACATGGTTTGAGTTGAAAGTTCTACTAAGGTGTACACGCCCATTACCGTTATCTTTTCTTCAATTTCAACGCCCTGTATATCAGAAATGAAGCAACTCCGGACATATGTTCATAGGAAGTTTGCTTCTTGAAATGACCTAACAAATCACCCCCTGCAGTTAGGAACCGTAGTTGGGAAACACCCTGTATATCTATGAGATGTCGCCGAGGATGTTGCTGAATAGTAATTAAACAAAGTCTCAGAAAGTCACTATAATGAGCGCTAATCAGAATAGGAATTGAATAATACAAATGTATCTTGTTTAGAAAGTATCTGATGAGTAAAGACCAGACGCTAGTAGGGGGGCCGGCGCCCCCCCCCCCTTGCCTCCCCCTCCGGACGCCCCTGGGGTATATCATGAGTCTGTGTCACCTGGTATATAAAAAATCAAGTAGGGTAGGTTATCAAACAATCAACAAAGAACAAAATTCATGTCATATGCAATGTTCTCACTTTACCAAGTAATTTACCAATGCATGGCCACCTCCAGATGATTGAAAAAGTAAGAATTCAGTTGGTGATAAAAAAAGGCTTAATTAAATGTGAAACTGATTTTATTATCACATTTGGATGTAGTAGTCAAGGTGATGTAGTCTTCTTCTTATTACAGAAGATATCAAGAATGATTGCTATTGTGGTTCATGTTCCACATTTCATTGTCTGAAGAGGACTGTACCTTTTAAACGGTCATATTCATATATTCATATATATTATACCGGGTGTCAACGTATCTAATAGACAAGTCATAACTTCTAGACCATCAGGTGTATCAAAATGAGATTTGGTATAGGTAAATGGTATGTGAAGAGGAGAGTTTTCACATATTTTTCTCTTCCCGGTCACTTCCGGTTTCACCGGCAATGGTTCCGGTTCTAAATTTTTAAATGGAACACCCTGTATATCGTAACATTTTTGGATTTCTGAGACAATTCTGGATCAGAATGTGACATTTTCGAAAGTTTTTATGCATACTTAATTTTTTCGGAGTCACTTTTGAAATTACATCTAGGTGGCCATGATCGGAAGTAAACTAATCTAAGGACCTCAGGTGATATCAGAAGATTACAATCGCGAAGTTTTAGTGACAAGTATGATAGATATGAATAAGACAAGTTGGCAAAATTACATTCTCGTGTCTAACTATTATTTTTCAAATGGCGACCATTTTTTGACAAGCACTTTCCGAAAAAAGGATATTTCGACGAATCTAACGATACTAATTTAATAGAGCAGTTCAGCTACCGTTGAGAGAGAAAAAAAATGTCTTCCCCATCTGTCCTTGTCTTCAGTGTTCCAACATAAAATAATGAAAATATTATGTTGGCATCATTGGAAATGGGAAATAATGGAGAAGAATATCATATTAACCTCGATATAAAAGAAGGTTAGAACGGTCTTCTTCTCCATTTCTTCTCATTTCCAGTGTTGGCAACATAAGATTTTCATTATTTCATATTGGAACACTGAAGACAAGGACAGATGGGAAGACATTTTTTTTCTCTCTCAACGGTAGCTGAACTGCTCTATTGCGATTGGATTACAAATAAGAACATAAATTAAATATTAAATATGTGTCTTGAACAAGGAAGAATGCACTTTGAAAATTTACTATAGTGAAAATTTTAAGAAATTAGGAAATTGAAAAAAATGTAAGTGCATCGCTGAAGTTATTGTTAATTTTGTTAAATTTGTTGATCTAATCGCAAATAAATTAGTATCGTTTGATTTGTCAAAATATCCTTTTTTTCGGGAAGTGCTTACAAGTAAATGAACTATCATCCATGGCACACTTGACAAAAGTAAATAAATTATTATGAAGAATTTTCGTCAGTACTATTTGATTAATGTTCTTATTTCTAATCCAATCGCAAATAAATTAGTATCGCTAGATTCGTCAAAATATCCTTTTTTCGGAAAGTGCCTGTCAAAAAATGGTCGCCATATGAAAAATAATAGTTAGACACGAGAATGTAATTTTGCCAACTTGTCTCAATCATATCTATCATACTTGTCACTAAAACTTCGCGATTGTAATTTTCTGATATCACCTGAGGTTCTTAGATTAGTTCATTTCCGATCATGGCCACCTAGATGTAATTTCAAAAATGACTCCAAAAAAATTAAGTAGGCATAAAAACTTTCGAAAATGTCACATTCTGATCTAGAATTGTCTCAGAAATCCAAAAATATAATATACAGGGTGTTCCATTTAAAAATTTAGAACCGGAGCCATTTCCGGTGAAACCGGAAGTGACCGGGAAGTGAAAACTCTCCTCTTCACATACCATTTACCTATACCGAATCTCATATTTATACACCTGATGGTCTAGAAGTTATGACTTGTCTAATAGATTCGTTGACACCCGGTATATATTCATATATATTTCATGGAGGATTGTGTATTTTTCTTAGAAAGTCATCATAATAATATTATGTGATTTGGTACTCTGGAAACCCTGAAGATTTTCATGCTGGTATTATACAGTATCTGACTTCTAATGGAAGCACCACTGTATCCTTGGTACCAACATTAGCTGTTGACAAGCTCTGTGAAGGATCCATTGATCTAGACCTTCATGATATAACAACTAGATCAATATCAAATACAGGGCCTGATTAACCATTAGGCTGATTAGGCTGCAGCCTAGGGCGCGAAGATCGGGGGGGGGCGCGCAAGGCGCGCTAAAATCGTGTCTTCGCATGCACTAATCTAGCATCATTGCATCTACTCTACATATTTCAACTAGACCGAGACAAAATAATAAAACGAAATGCGCTTGATACTCCCTGATTTTAACAATGAATTTTGAAATTTTGAAAAGCGCGCGTAAGAAGAAGAAAGAAACAAAAATTTTGATGATGTTAAAATGGGGCACATTGAGTTAGAAAGGAGAAGATCTTTCATCGTTGATAATTATTATGCAGCTATTGATTGTCTTAAAGTGCATATAAAAAACCGGCAAATTATTCATAATACAGTAAACACAAAGTTTGGTTTCTTATGGAAACTACATAAACTAGACGACAGTGAATTTATTAGAAGCAGAGCAAAGGAGTTGAAACAACTACCTATATGCTACTGATTTAGAAGAAACCATTGCAGAAGGATGCGTCCATTTGGCGCAGTTTTCAAAATCTGACACCGAGATCGAGCGTTCTCTTTCTGCCAGAACCCCAAAGGGTTTGTTGCAGTTTATAACAAGTTTTAATATTTTAAGCATGTTCCCGAATGTGGGGATGATATTAAGAATTTCTTTGACAATGAGTGTTACCAACTGCAGCGGCGAAAGGTCTTTTTCAGCACTGAAGAGAGTACAAAATTACTTACGCTCCACACTCCGCCAGCAAAAGCTTGCAGCGCTCTCTCTAATGTACATAGAAAGTGATATTCTTCAAACTATCGAATTTGAAAAAATTGTGGAAAGATTTGCAAACGCTAAAGCAAGAAAAAAGACCTTATTATAAGCAAATAATAATTACCCAATTATTATGATTTTCAAATAAAACATTAATCAGTTGCAAAAATGTTTCACTTGTATGATGCCTCTCGTCTTTAAGATTACAGAAATGTAAATATATAAATAATACTTCAAGTCGAAAACTTTCATAGATAGTATGAACCATGTCAAAATTTTTATACTAGTAAACAAAGTCAAGACTAATATACTACTTTAGGCCGACCGTAATACTCATGGCGGGGGCGCGTCCTCATAATTAGCCTAGGGCGGTCAGAACTCTTAATCAGGGCCTGATCAAATAATAATGTGATTGTTCAACATAGTGTATCTTATACAGAACCTAACATTTATAATTCACTGGCCAATGGGCTCAGAGTAAGAAAATTCAAAAACAATGAAAATTCAAAAACAATGAAAATAAAATAATCTCATGAATTTTAAACAGAACAAATTGTATAAAAGTTGTGATAATACAAATTTAATATCATTTTTTTAGTATTATTCAGGTACACCCATGTCCCATATTTGAATATATTTCATGACTGGTGTATAGACAAGCTTTTATAACCAATAGTGTACCTATCATATTATGTAAATAAGTATTGTATGAATTTTGTAAGTGTTATAAACAAAATAAGAAACAATTCCTCATAATTATTTCTAATTTCTCAGAAAATATCTTTATAGCAAGAAATTTTGAGAAAAATCCTGTCTATAGAATTATTTTCCAAATTATATCAAGCCATGATTACAGCATTTCAATTTCTTCTTTCTGGAAAAAGTAACTTAAAAATGTTTGATGAAAATTCAAAATACACTTCATAGACTGCCTGGTATAAGTGAAATTGAGGAAACAAACTTGTCAAAATTCAAAATAATTACTACCCAATTTTTTTTTTATTTTACCTGAAGAAGTATTGTTTTAAGTTTGACTCAAATTGAATGAGATATTGAACATGAACTAGATTTTTATCTTCTGGAAAAGAACACTTCAAGATGATTGATGAAAATTCAAAATTCACTCAATAGACTGCCTGGTACAAGCACAGATTGATATTGATGAAACAAACTGATGAAAATAAAAAAAAAAATACCACCCAGATTTCATCTGCCTGCTGTCTATTTATTTTTTATTGAATTTTACCTGATGCAGTGTTGCTCTAAGTTTGACTAAGATTAAGAAACATATTGAGTGTACTAAATTTTTATGTTCTGGAAAAGGAAACTTCAAGATTGATGAAAATACAAAAGTATGCCTGGAACAACTGGTACAAGTGATATTGATGAAATAATCTGGTCAACCACAACACTGACAAAACAGATTTCAGGTTTCATCTGACCACTGTCTATTTTTGGGTATTTTATTTTACCTGACAATACTTAATGATTTCAAGTTTCAATAATATCAAGAGAAATATAAAAAATGAACTGTTGACATTATTTTGCAGTCAGACCATATTCAAGACTATGGAAAAAAGAAGAGAACTGAGAGAAAAACATATTTGAACATGAAATCTTATTATAAAACAGGAGATCAGCAGATTTTATTAACTATAATATAGCAGACAGGTAGGTATCTATGTTGAATATGTCATTTCTGATAGTGAATATTGTTGACACTGAGACTCTGATGATTCTGATTTGTAATCTCCTTGAGAATCCAGATAAATTGTACATAGTACCTTATTATGAAATATCATAGTTTTGAAATCAATATTTTTCAATAAAATACACTTATTGTAAAAATATAGTATTCTAATATTCTGAGTATCAGTTAAACTACAGAAAGGTAGGATACTATTATCTTATTAGGAGTAAAAAATATGTCACTGCTTGCAATTATTGACTAAGAGAGGCAGTGAGAACAGTACCATCTTATTTCATTCAAAAAATAGTGAGGTGGATAATTATTTGACAGATTATCATCAGATAAAAATATGCACCCATCAAAGAGGGACTCTGAGTTTGGAGTAATTTAAAAAAAAGACAGACATTACTATCAAAATTCCAAAGCCATGCTCAACACCAATAATGCTAAAATTTGCATTCCAAGGAACACCAAATATGATAGGTCAGAGTTTGAACCACTATACCTGCATACAATCTTCCCAGTCTTTTGAGTTTACTTTTTGATTCATCTCTTAGTCCATTTTCATCATGATTGTTTTCTGAATCACTATTGCTATCTGCCTCTGCTATTTCAACTTCAACTCGCACATTTTCAGTTGAGGTCAATTTGATTTCCATGTTGAAGTTGTCTTGCTGAATATTCAATGTTTTCAACTGACTACCAGGAGAACCTGGTATTTCAGATGATACCATAGTTTTCGAATTTTGTCTTGAAAATCTAGGTAAATTGGAATCAGAATTGTTTTCTTTGAAGGGAGAAGATCCAGCTCTCTTTATTTTCGAGGTCAGATCCGAATCAGACAGTGATGCTTTGTGAACTTTTCTTGTGTCAGCTAAATTAGTTTTAGATGAATTATTGGATTGAGTTTCCCTGAGAGGCGATTTTTCGCTACCTGTGTAGTCTTCTAGTAATTTTTGTCTTTCCCTGGCTCTTGCAAGTATGTTCTAAAATTGCCAATTCATGTATTCCAGTTTTTTTTTAGTAAAGTTTCTTACCTCAGTAAAGGCATCCATTCCAGTAATGTGTTTGTATTATCTAAGAATATTATCACAATATCGGAACTCTTAAATAATTTGAATGACACCAACTAAACAGAAGTCTGAACAAAATAAAAATCTTTAAAAATTGAATTTCAAATTACAACAGACAAAGGTAAATTCATTCACAACAAAAATGAACAACAAAACCGTTGCTCGTTTCTGCAGTTTGATTTTTGATTTTACGTCAAATGTCAAATGTGTAGTTTCAGTTTGTGTCTGTCAAAGCACAGAATTCCCAGATCGATAAGTTTCACGAAACACACAGAACATAAGAACCAGCATAAAGTAGCATAGACAAGAACATTCACAGAACTCGACCTAATCGGTCCCTTGATGAAAATTGACGTTAAAGTCATCTTAACAGGGTACGGATAGATCATAGCTGCATTCTTTCGGTGCGTTCGGTTATAACATATCTGTTAGCTCGATTCCATCTGTTAGCTCGGAAAGCGTTCGATAAATCAGATCTACTTCCTCTGTCTAATCTGCTCCGTGTTCGTTAATTGTCAGAGCGAGCTGAAAGATGTAATCTGTTTGCTCCGCCTTGAGGAGCAGATCATTCAGATTTGATCGGTTATTCGGTTGTCAATTGTCAACAAATCAATGTCAACAACATGTTATTGAAATTATATCTCTTTTATGACGAAAAATTGAAGACTCGATCAACTGGAAACGAAACACAAAACTGAATTTTGTAGAATCCTCATTGCCCAGAATCGCCAGAATGACCGACGAATTTGCTGTAGGTAGCATATTAATTATATATCTGTAATATATGCGATCACAACTGCCCTGGATCCACAGTTAATGACCGATCATATTAGACAGAATCATTCCTTCCCTAGTAATTTTCAAAATATAAACAACAAACATTCAAAAAAACTTTGTTGCCCTGAAGTGTTTTTAAAAGTAATAAGGTTAAGTGAATTGTTTCTGTTGTGTTACTTCTGCAATCTGCAATCTACTACCTCGTTGAGCGTTCGTTAAATATCTTTAGCTCTATCTGCTAGGTGATCACGTGACACCAAATCTGCATCTGCTCGCTCGGCTCCGATTTTGTTAAACCGAACGCACCTTTTGTGATCTCTTTGTGATCTTAGTCGAGCTTTTGACTGTATCAACCATCAAAAACTGAGGTCGAAATTAGAAATGTATGGAATAAGAGGCGTATTTCTTACAAGTAAAATACATTGATGACTGTTCGAGGGGCAAGGGGTTGGGTATTTTGGCTGGTTCAAGATTCAGAATGATGATCACCCTGTATCTGTTCCGATTGAATATCAGTAAATAGTAAATGAAAAGTTGAGATAGGGACATGCACAGAACTCAAGGTCTTTGAGTTCTGTGGGGACATGTGACTCATGTGAGCCGTTTTGGCTAGATCACTGGATGGTAGTTTCGGCACAAACAAATCCTGAAGTTGAAGAATCTCGATTTTGAACACCCTATATCTCTGTGATCATTCCCGATAGACCCCAAGTTTGATGTATTGATGAAATCAGCTCTACAAGGAGAATATTATTGAAATACAATGAAATACAGGGTATTCTATTTGATATAACAAAGTTGTTGCTAATTTTGATAGAAACGGCAACACTGCATTGCTGAAATTATTTTAAATTAAGAGAGCGCGTATTCTAAAATATAAGCATGCATATTTTTATGTATTTCTCCTGACTGATTCTCGGTATAGAGATATATAGTGTAAGCTTATTGTCGTGACATACCCTGTATGTTATTTCGTACCGTTTTTTGTATTTTTTCCAATCGAGGAAACAAGAGTCTCGAGATCATACCCGTGTGTTCACCGAACACGCCCGATCGTTACCTAAGCGGTGGGGAGACGTGGGGGAGACCGAGACGTAATTAAGCAGGCAGTCATGATACATTGAGTGAGCAGGCAGCCTCTCTAATGCTGTCTCTGTTTTTGTAGTGTAGTACGGGGTGGGCCACCAACAGTTTTCTTGATCACATTTCAACTTTTTTTTTTTTCGAATAAATAAGAAACATTTGATAGGCATCAAGTAATCTACTGCGACCTATCAGATAATGAGAGCGATGATTTGATTTGCAATAATTCGCTATGTCGATCACGACGAGTCCTATACATGTAATTAGCGAACCACTCATCGAAAATCATGAAACTATATGTACATATTATATGATAATGTTTTGTTGGCGAGGACGCTCGTTTTATTCAAATTATTATCGATAATGTTCATCTGCTTCACTAGAAATTATTATTAGTAGTTAGTAGTAGTTGTATAGTAGTATAGCAGCTTATTTGTTATTGAGAATGGAACACCTTATATTTCATTACATTTTTCGATTCTTCTAATTGAGCTATGATTTCGTTGATCAAGCTCAAGGTATACCTATACGTAGAATGTGAAAAATCGAGATTTTTTTTGTATCGAAACTATACAATACCTATATTGATTTGCCAAAATGGCTTACATGTGTCCTTATCCTAATATTCTATTTACTATCTACTGATGCCATTTAATTAAAACAAATACAGGGTGGATCAGATTTCAGAATTATACAGGGTGTTACAGGAATATGGGATCAAACGTCTGGGGGCTGTTCAGTGGAACAGTAGAAAACATTTGAGTATTGGAACCCATGTCCGGAAAAGTGTCACTACGGCACTACGGCCTAAGACGCGTTAAAATTCAGAAAGACTATATGAATTGCCTAAATAGGATTTATAATGCATTTATTTTGCCTTTTGTACATAATATCATCACAACAATTGTTCAAAATGTCTTCCTCCAACCTGAATACACCGATTTAAACGTCGCACATGATTTCGGCGGACTTGAATAAAAATTTGATCATTGTTTTGAATGATTTCAAATGCTGCTATAATTCGTCCAATTAAGTCTTGCTCTGTTTCTACTGGAGTTTCGTAGACCAAAGACTTCACATGTCCCCACAGGAAAAAATCTAGCGGCGTTAAATCGGGTGACCTAGGAGGCCAAGAAACTGCTTCACCTCTGGCAATCCAACGGTGCCCAAACCGCTGAGCCAAATCCTCACGTTCTGATACCATATTTGCTGTCGAACGTTTAGTGGAACATTTTCAAGAAGTTCTGGAAGGACTTCCTCCAAGAAACGCCGGTAAATAGGTCCTGTTAACCGTTCCGATAGAAGGTATGGCCCAATCAAATAATCATCAACAATGCCTGCCCATACGTTGACAGACCAACGTTGCTGATGTTTCCTAGGAAAAATTGCATGGGGAATTTCTTCGTCCCAAACATGGCTATTCCTACAATTATAAAAATACCGTCTCTTGTGAAAGAGGCTTCATCGGTCCATAAAACATAGCATAAAAAATTTGGTTGTGCAGCGATTTGATGAAGAAGCCATTGACAAAATTGAACTCTAGGATGATAATCGGCTGCAGTCAATCCTTGAACTTTCTGAAAGTGGTAAGGATAAAGTTGTTGCTCGTGTAGCACCCGCCAGACGGAAGCGTTAGTCGAATTCATATCCATAGCAATGTGACGTGTGCTACTTGATGGTTCGTCGGCAACTCGCTGAAGGACCTCTTCTTCAAATTCGACCGTTCTTACGGTTCGAGCAACACCAGTATCATGCATGTTGGTTCTAAACATGCCTGTCTCGGAGAGCCGCCGATGAATAGCAATAAACTTTTTGTATCCCGGATGCTGTCGTTCGGGATAACGTTCTTGATACAACCGCGCTGCTGCTCGTGCATTGCAGCTTGTTGCTCCGTATGCCAAATGCATATCCGCCAATTCTTGATTGGTAAAGTTTTCCATTAGCAACAATTAATTTTTGTTGAATTCTTGCAAACTTCACAAATACGATAGCACGACTAAAGCGATATGGAATGCAGCCACAAAAAACAACCTCTTTTATCATTTTTAAAGATAACAACACACAAGCGCCGGTAAATTGTTTAAAATCATCAGCTAATTTTTAAACATTGACATTGACATTTTGAACAATTGTTGCGATGATATCATGTACAAAAGGCAAAAATTAAATGCATTAAATCCTATTTAGGCAATTCATCGTCTTTCTGAATTTTAACGCGTCTTAGGCCGTAGTGCCTTAGTGACACTTTTCCGGACATGGGTTCCAATACTCAAATGTTTTCTACTGTTGCACTGAATAACCCCTAGAAGTTTGATCCCATAGTTCTGTAACACCCTGTATAAAAGAAGTACTAGTATGCCTACTAAAAAAATATATATATTTGAAATAAACAAAACAAATATATCACATAAAAAAAACACTCTAATATTCAACATAAAATAAAATTCAATCCCACTGGATGTATTTAAAAATAAAAACAGCGTGCATGTCACTTCTAATGGAATCAATTCGTATATCTAACGTAACTGTTAACTGTTCAATTTTCAGTAGCGATAGATATCTATATCAACTATGACCAAAGTGAGGTAATCTTCAGTGAAATACACTGCTCGGGTCATGGACCCACCAACATTTCCGGAAAATGATATTAGGAGGCAAGATAGGTTGAAAATCACTTCCAATTCACTGACTATTCATATTGTTCCTGAGAAATGTTCAGTTCTGAAAAATCAAATTTTGTTTCAATTTACATGAAAGCACCCCCGTATCTTACGTAAGTATTCTATTCACAGCAGCAAGGAAGATACAATCAATGAGCAGTGTATATATCACTGAAGATGTCCCCACTTTCAGAATCCTAATAACTCAACAATTACGTAAAATACAGGAGTGCTTCCATTAGATTGACAAATTTGACTCCAGAATAATTCTGGCACGCGCCAATATTTATAACGAGAGAAGCTGCCTGTTTACGTATCCCCAGTCTCCACCGCTTAGGTAACGATCGGGCGTGTTCGGTGAACACACGGGTATGATCTCGAGACTCTAGTATCGAGGAATACTCTCTTCTGATTTTCGTGCTTTATTCTATTCGAACCTGTATTTTTTCCGATCAAGAAATGCGCGCTTTCTTCTGATGATTTTTGTGCTTTCTGTTCGAAACTGTATTTTTTGAGAATCTACCATCTTTAATAACTGTGATACAGAACGTACTTAATCTCGATTTTGGCAAAATATTCATCTATGGTCAGTTCATATAGCTTTTTATTTGAACCACTGATATGTATAATCGATTCATACTTGGTAGGTATATTCAACTCATATCACTCATCAAAGGTGGATATATGTACTATTTTCATCATG